TCCCAAGCAGCAGCCCGGGGCAGCCCCGTCCGCGCCGGGAAGGCGGAAAGGAGCCCGCAGGTGCACTGCGGCTCCCGAGCACCGCGGCGGCGGGAGGATGCGGGCAGGACGGAGGGAGAGCCCGGCCGCTCCCGCACAGCGGCGCCGGTACCTCCCCGGCACGCAGCCCCCCACCCGAGAGGGTGAGGGGACACGGTGCTCGCCCCGCCGCGGGAACCCTGGCGCTCCCGAGGTCGCTCCTACCTGCCCGGGCTCGCTGCGGTAGGCGAAGGCGTAGACCCGCTCCGAGCTGATGTTCACTGCGCCCCGGTAGACGTGGCCGAAGGCGCCGGGAGCGGGGTTGTCCCCGGGGCCGCCCCCCGCTGCCGCCGCTGCCGCGCAGAGCAGGGCGCAGAGCAGAGCCCCGGGGGCCGGGGCTGCCCTCCCGGCCATGGGCTCCTTCCTGCCCAGCCCGCCCGGACTGCGTGTCCCCGGCAGGGCGGGCGGCGAGGCGCTTCAGCTGCGATTTAAATAAATAGCTCGGCGACAGGGGCAAGAGGCGGCGGGGGCAGCGCCGCACGCCCCCGCCCCTCGCCCGGGGGACGCCGAGCAACTTTCCCCGGGGAAGGACCCTCCGCCGGCCGGCGGGGCGGGGAGGGGAGGGGAGGGGAAGGGAGGCCGGCCGGCGGGCTGGCCGGCCAGCCCAGGGGCGGAGGGTCTCCTCTCTGTGACCGGCCCCACATTCTGAACCCGGCTTAGCAGCCGATTGTCAGAGAGCTTTTCCACTTGGGGAGCTGTGCCGTGAGCGCAGGGACACGCTGGCATCGTCAGGCACGTGGGGATCAGCATCTGCAGGGCTTCAGCGCTCCCTGCCATCCGCGTTAGGGGCGTCCTCGCTTCACATTCTGCCGGCTTGCTGGAGCTGCAGGTCGCACCTGAAGTTCTGTATGGGGCGCTCCCTAACCTTTATTTTTGGCTGCTCAGAACTTTAAGATAAATGCTCTCGCCCTTTAGTTCAGCCTAAAGGTGTGAAAGACAGCAGCAATGTAATTTCATTAATCTGAAAATGGCTTGTTGCATCTTTTCTTTACATAATCCGTGGAACTGGCTACAAAGTATACTGTGATGCTCTTAACCTTTTCAGCAAGAGGAGAGCAATACTGTTGGCTGTGAAAAGACAAGGAATCTCTCACGGCTTAACCCTCCTATGAGGGTTGAAAACACACCTAGGAAATGTGTCACATCCCATGGTATAGGGATGCACTTTAAAGTCAGAGAAAATGGAGTGGAGTGTTACTTATAAAGCAATAAGACGGGTTTTTCAGGCTGAGGATAAACTTTCAGGAGCCACAGTTTTATAAAGTCAGCCTGCAGTCTCCAGCTGCAGACTCTAGCCCCAGAAGCTTTACACAAGTTGTGGATTTTGTTTTCAAGGCAGAGAGATTTCCTAGGGGATCACTTGTTGTCTTTGGAGGAAGAGTTGCAAAGCTCAGCAAAACGAGCCAGCATGCCTTTTGCTGCCATTTTGATCTCTGGGCCCTTGTGTGATTTTTGCCAAGAGAAAAAAGGAAACAATTGTCAGTCAGTTCTGTCCGTCTTGAAGCAGGGTTCAAGTCACCCTGCCTTTTGTCAGAGTCCCAAGAAGAATCATTAAGGGTAAAAGAAACCACTTGCAGTCTGCTCGAAGATGGAGAACCCAACACAAAGATTTTGCCTTTCAGCCTGGAATATCATGCTCTGAAGACAAGGAGAATTTATGACTTTATCTGGCCTCTTAACGGGACATGGCATGACTTGTCCTGGCGGACTTCAAACAGTGGTGGAGCTGGGAGATTTATGGTTACCCCTCCCTATCCTGTAGAGTCCAAAGCTCCTGAACCCTACAGCTCCTTTCTCACCCACTGCGGTCTGCAGATGCACAGGTCCTTCTGCCAGGGCCAGCAGCCCTCTAGAATGTGCTGGAGAGAGGACATCAGAAAACTCATCTCCCAGAGAGGAGACTTCAGGCAACAGGAGGAGATAAGGCAGGTAAGGGCCATGCCTGGTTCCTCAGAGCAATTTGACTGATGGCACAAAGATGGTGTTCTGCAAACCAAGGTAGCTGTGGCAGCTGCAAATAATTTTTGTGTCATTCAGTGTAATGAATATTTCAGATTGAGATATCAGTGCATTGTCCCTCTCTAGTTGTGTTGGTTCCATGGCAAAAAAGTGTCTCTTCATATAGTCCACATTTTCCAAGGTAGAGTTATGCTATTCTTAAAGTGCTTTCCCTGCTTAGATGTACATTATGGTATCTTACCAAAGCCTACACATTTTCCCTCATTTTTAATTTGAGAATTCAAGTTTTCTAAGTGTCATACATTGTTCTTGTCTTAATTTCATCTCACTATTTTGAGGCTCTTTCTGTGATTTAGCAAGGGTAAACCTTTGTTCAAATCTTTGCCTCCAAGGTGTCACACTGCCTGGTTTAGTGTTATTTGCAGAAGTTTGAAGTCAAAGGTCAACTCCACCATTCCAGTTGCTAATGAAAGTAAACAATCCTAGCAGACAGATCAGATCTCTTCATTTGATATACCTTCCTACTGACAGGAAAATATCCACTACACCAGTTTGGGAATTGTTTTTTAATCATACACTCTTCTCATGTTAATACCATCTGATGCCAATTTGCCTTTATGAGACTGGTGTTCAAGACAATGTCAAAGGCCCCACGGAATCAAAACAGGTTTTACATATTCCTTTCAGCATTAAGTCAGCTGTCTCAGCAGAGAAATAAATTAGGTTAGTTTGACATGATTTGTTCTGGACAAATGCAGAGTGCCTGCTGCTCATCACTTTACTGTTATTTAGTTGCTCGCACACTGATTGCCGAACAGCTCGTTTCATTACTTTTCCAGATAATAAATGGAGGTTGGCTGACTTATAACACTTCACTCAGACCCTTTGATAAAGATGAGTAGCCCATTTTCCCTTTTCATTACACCTGGATCTTGCTCTTGAAGGGCAGCATGTACTTTGGAAGAACGAACCAATCCCTCTAAGAGACAGTATTCTCATCCAGATACACCTATGATTCAGATGGCTCTGAATCAGTGGAAGCGATCTTTTCTTGTGTATGCCACTGTACTCTGGCCTTGGGAACCAGCAAGGGCCAGATGCTCCCTAAGGGACAGGGATCTGAGTGCCACAACACAGAGAGGGGAGAGAGAGGCAGAGTGGGTGCCTCACTGGCCAGGGCTCCGTCCCACAGCATCTGAGCAAGACAAGGCCTGGATATGGAATCAACAGAGTCCAGATTGGTGGACAAGTCAATAGCAATGGGATAGGTCTGAGGTCAACATAAGTTAGTGACTCAGGTCTGGTGATGGCAGTCAGGGACAGACACAGTCCCATCAGCAGCAGGCAAGTCCCCAGCGGTGAGGCAGACCTGAGGTCTGGCCAGGAAGCTGCTCAGCTGCTGGGCCAAAGGGATACAGGCAAGGCTGTCACACGGCTGTAGCTCCAGCACAGCCAAGGACCACAGCCCCACCTGAAATGAGCTGCCTTGTGAGGGGGAAGAGAGCCCTTGCTGGAGCCTCCCCACAGCCCTGGTGCCAAAGTCACTGGAGGGAAGGGGAGCAGTGCTCAGCTGGGCTCTTTCTAGGCTGCCTATGAGCCCAGGGTGCCAAACCTCCAAAAAAAGGGGATGATGCTCCTTGGGGCCCTTGTCTCTTGCTGTGTGGAGGTCATGTATTTCGTAAAAGGACCCATTTTTCCAGTATAAATAAAGCCCAGGGTTGTGAATGTCTCAAGGGAAGGAGAACTATGCTGGATGAGAGGCTCACAAGAGTGTGGTTTTGAGTTTTTTGTTGATTTTTTTTTCTATATAGCACAAAAGCAAAAAACCTCATTGCTGTTGGGAGCAAAATAACAAAAAAAAAAATTCTAAGCCAGTAAAGAAACTACATTTCCCCTTGTAACCATGGCTGCAAAAATATGCAGAATAGAGACTATTACAAAGGAATTCCCTAAATCATACTAACTTAGGGAAGTAGCATAAATTTATAACAAACCAAATTGTTTGGAAACCTGATGATTTAAAATTACTGTTTGCATATATAGTCTGTGTCTTCTGTAAGCTCCTCTGCGAATTAATAGATGCTCGGCTGGCTTCTGCAGAGATAATGCCACATTTTCAGACTGCTGAAAATGCAGTGTGAAGAATTATGAGAAGTAAAATGTAGACAGGCTTTAAAGACGTTTGATAGAACCTGCTCCGACCTTTCCTATACGTGGGCAAAGTGCTTGAGAATACCCTGCTTGAATGAGACTTGTCTCTGGCTTGTGTCATATTTGCTTGTGTTAGCTATTTAACATTTATATTTGACTGTAATTAATAATAGCAGAGAGGTTAAAGAGGTTTCAGAATATATGATGTAATGATGCAATTACGCCTTTATTGCTTTCTTATTCAGTAGGCCTTGTTCTTCAAGACAATTTAAAGCCATGTTAAGAGAGAATTCCAGATGTGCCCTTGATTTATTCTTTTTGCTTCCAAATTTTCAGACCAATACAGATTAATGAATTCCCTGGCATGCATTTCTCTTCCCACAGGCTGTACTCTGATGATCACTTTCAGGTGCATATGGTATCTATGTTGAGTGTCTAGATGGAAACTGAAGGCTGTGAGGTGCAACCTCCACATTTGCAGCACTTCATTAGAGGCTATGGCTGAAAGTATTTCTCTAATGCGTTTTTCTCCCCTCGTGATTTCCATCTTCTCCTTATATCACATGCAATACAATTCCTTCCCTCAATACCTTAACCACTACCTTCACATTAATCTTTTTACAGTGATGCTGGTAAAGCCAGAATTGCATTGATGGGGACCCTAAGCACCAGGAAATCTTGGTGAAATGGAAAAAGTTTTGAATTTTAAAAGCTGACAAACCTTGTGCCTTCACTTTCCAGCTCCCACAGACAAAATATTATGTTCACACTGTAATACAAAATGTGAAAAATGCTGATCATTTGTTCTAAAATTTTAAAAGTTTAATAGTAATAAAATGGTAATAAAAATTGAGTAATAAGAATTTGGACAGAGTTAGGACAATAAAGGACAATAAAAAAAAAAGAAATATGGACAGTCCTGTCCTAGGCCAATTAAGCCCTGAAAGCACGGATGCTAACAAAGGATTAACCCTTAAAAGCAGTAGCCTGTTGCATATTTACATATCTCATACACGATGCATAAATTCTTTTCAAACAAAGGGTGTTCTCTGGTTGTTGTCAACTTCTTCCTGGTGGCTCCTTAAAGACGGAACAGGAGGTGGAAGAATGTTTGCCTTTTCCAATAAGGAGGCGGTAACTCTTTAGGTGTCTTGTTGCTGTTATCTCTGTGCGAAGAATTTCTTGATCCCTTTATTGAGCTAGATAAAAAAATATATTACATCGCATAGGTTCAATTTTAACATTATGTTATAACCTAAAGCTATATCTGCCACACTACTTTAAAAAGGTTAATACATTAATACTAATTAATACAACACATACAGTATTCCTTTGCAAAGAGCCAACCATATAATATGCACTTTTCATACGAAATGTTAACTGTAACCTTTTGGAGTAATTACATCATGTCTTTACCTGTGTGGAGGGAAGTGGATGATGATCTGTGGCATATAATGGGGTAAGTATGTAGGGAATATATTGCACCTATCTGTGAACTCATTTCAGAACCACCAGTTGCTTCACTGAAACCAGAAATTCCTTGTGGCTACCGAGGTACACCCTTCCTCGCTGGCACAGCTAACGAGATCTGTTTGTTACATTTAAACGAGGGCCACTCTTTAATTTCGTATCACCTTAATTTCATGGCTTGTGTGACATTCTGCTCTGAAGCACCTATAACAGCATCTCAAATACATTTTCGCACGGGGAAAATCCCAAGGCTTCCTCAGCAGGACACTGAGAGATCTCTTCGGAGGGGTATTTGCAGCGAGGTGGTGCAACAGCGAAGTGAAGGAGTAGAAAAATTAAGGCGAGGCGGGATGGAAGACGACTGGCAGCGCCAGGGGCAGCTCCCGTGGAGTGGGCTGCGGTGGGGCCAGAGCACCGCTGTGCTGAAGGGAGGCAGTGGGGGCTGTGCCCTGCAGCCCTGAGGGAGGCGGGGGCAGAGACTGCTCCCTCACAGAAAGCCGAGCGGCGCAGGAGCGGCGCAGGAGCCGCGCTACCGTTCCTGCGCGGGCGGGAAGCGGAGGCGGCCTCGGCCTCGCTCCGCCCCTGGCTCAGGGCGGGCCGAGCGAAGCCGCTGCCGTTGGCAGCGTCGCTCCCGCCCCTTCCCGCGATGTCGCTGCTCCGCGGGCCGCGGCCCCGCGCCGCCGGCAGGAAGGGCCCCAGAAAGGCGGCGGCGGCCAGGCGGGACTGGGATGTAAGTGCTCCCCGCTGCCGGGCGGCTTCTGCTGGGAAGAACGCCCCGGAGCCTCCGTGCCCACGGACGCCCCGGAGCCTCCGTGCCCACGGACGCCCCGGAGCCTCCGTGCCCACGGACGGGGAAGCCACCGCCCTCCGCAGGGCTGCGCCATGGAAACGCCCGCGTTGCGTGTGGGTCGGGGCCGGCAGACGCCGCGTGTGCGAGGGGACGCGGCCCCTCTGCTTTCCTTGGCCCTCCCTGGAATATAGAGTGTAGGAATGGCCCCCCTATGTAGAGGCCAGGCCTCCGGCATCTCCTGGGGAAAGAGCACGCTCCGGTTTGGTGGAGGTCTCGTTTTTGGCGGCCGCCTCGCCGAGGGTGGGACCCTCTGCAGCGCCATGAAGGTGCACAGCAGTATAGTGTTAGGCGAATTGTACTGCAATTTAAAGTCTTTTTTTTTTTTTTTTAATAAAACTTAAATAAAAAAGTTTGCCCTCAGTTACGACCCTTGACGTGTTCCCTGGTTCCTTTTCACAGAGTACCGTCCATGATTTGACAGTGCACCGTGCAACTCCTGAGGATATCGTAAGTTTAATAGCAGGCACTGCTCTATCCCTGTGGCAAGGACATTTAGCTGATTGTCTGACATAAAAAAGTGCTTGCCATGCTTACAGGGATATTTTTCTGCCAATGCTTGATCTCTTTTTCAAGCTTCTGAATGTGTTGTCTCTTTAGTGCCAGTTTTTTTTTTTTTTAATGATACTGAGCATCCCCAGCTCTGGCAGTTGTTCTTCAGTTTCTTGTTCCCACTGGGAAGCAGTAGCTGCAGTTTTTATTTCAATAAATTGGGTGCCATCATAAAAGAATAAAAACATAAATACATGAAAGATCAGTGCATTAGTTGAAGGTCTTACTTCTGCTGGGAAGGACTGAAAGATGTGCTTTTTCTGATGAACCTCTCTAATTCTGAAAACACTTAATTTTCATTTAAACAATTTAACACAATTTGTTTGTACTGAGTGACTTGTTGATTGCAAAGTATATGAATTCTTTGCAATAAACAGATAATGTATATTTACATTTATTTAATTACATTGTATTTACATGTATTTAAATGTTCTTGGTAGCACTAATTACCAGGATGGAAGAGGCAGTATGAGCTATTATTATAAGTTTTGACAGGTTTGTCAGGACAGATGGTCACAGTAGCAGAGAAAGACTTGGTTCTACAGGTGCTTACCTTGATAGCTTCTAGAGACTTTAGCAAGCACCTCACATATTTAATTTCTTTAATTTCTGTTTAAACTATATTTTTTCTATATAATCATTAGAAGACACTATATCTGGTGAGTTGTAATGTTAAATGAGGACAATGTCTTTTTATGCACCTTATAGGTGGTGGTGTTAGGTTTTTGCCTCCCTTTACACTGACTTACTGAGTTAGTGGTGAAGGGCAGACAGAAATTGAGACTTTCCCCATTCACCTTTGGAACTGCTTTAAATTTGGATGGTAATGATGGCATTTTACACTTCTGGATGCTTATGAGGTTGTCATTGGCACTATTGTGAAGTTAACATAAATAATGTTTGGTGCATGAGCGATAAGACCAAGAAGAGCTTGTTACCTTTGCTCTGCAAATTTTGCTTAAGATTGATTTTTGAAATTATTTATTTTATGTTTCTGTAGCTCCGTCGCCGTGAAATACACAAATCAAAAAACAAAGCCTTGGCACATGTGGAACTCCAAGAGAAAGCACTGAACAGAAAATGGAAGAAGCAAAGGCAAGTGGATGCAGATTCGTTGGAGAAAAGGAAGCTGGCTCTGATGCGTGAGGTGAGAGCTAAATTTGCTCTTGCAGCCGGCTGCAGGTGATCTGCAGCACTCCTGGAAAACCACTCGTGCACAAGGAAGCCACAGTTGCTCCTCTTGTTGGACAACTTGATTTCATATGTGCACATGCTGTGTGTGCTGCATGCATGCAGTGATTGGAGTGGACTGTCTGACAAACCAGCTGTTACCTAGAATTGCACATTTGACCCAGGTTGCCTGGCTATGGCCTCTGTAATTCTGCAGGCCTCTTTTCATCTGAACAGGAACTGTTTGCAGAGTTCAACTGTTGTAAAAAGTATGTGTATTCTTTGGGTTTTTATTGCCAGCTTGCCTTTTCTTCCTCATGTCTGACATTTTTCTGTGATGCAGACATGAACATTTCTCTATCAGGGAGGCACATTGTTTATTTAAACAGAGAAAGTGCAGTGCCAAGGGGGCTGAAAGGGTGAGGCAAGAAGTTGTTAAGGGAGGAAAATTGACGTAATAAAGATTGATGAGCTATGGCTGACAAGCTTGTCATCTGGAGATTGAAAATCTTGTTATCAGCATTCTAAAGCACTCTGAGTGTAAATATATCATTGAATTTGCTTTTGAATATTGAACTGTAGCAGTAAACCTAAGCCTAGTTAACATAGAGTGGCTGTCACTGAAAAGTGGTGTTAGATCTCCTTTTTCACATGGCAGGTCATTCCTTCCGTGTGTTAAGAAAACTCATCTGAAAATTAGCTTTCAGACCTCTTTAGTGGAACAGGTTGAGAATTGTTCCTACTGGTAAAGAATGATGATGAACAATGTTCACTTAGCAGTCAAAATAAACATGATATGCAAGCTCTAAATGTGCAGTGGACTAACTATCACAATCTTCATTGTTTTGTCTTTTGTAATTTTTCAGAAGTCACTTTCTGAACTGTGAGAACACTCAAGAGAACATAGACAAACAAATGCAAATACTTAGAATTGAAGATCACCACCTAGTTTTCTATTAGAAAACTTTTTCTCTGCAGTCAGAGTAGAAATTATGTATTATGGGTAGTTCACTGATTAAGCCTCAGACTTGGACTTTTGTTGCTCTGGTACTTTTCTGCCAAGGATATTTCATTCAAAAACCACTGTGAACCACTATATGACTTTCCCTAATGCAGCCCAGTTTCAATAATGCTTCCATGCAGAAATAAATTCTGTGTCACAAAAGGTAGATTAAACCATATTTTCTAATATTAGGTGGCCTACCTATTATGTGACTTCATTCTTTTGCAGATGTGAAACTCATGTTTAGGAAATAATCTTCTATATTTGTTGCTGTTTCTAATGAAAATGTACAAATCTCACATCCTCCTGAGTGGTTTTCCCCTTTATAGTTATTCAGTTTACTCTGTGTTTATTCTGAATCAGTGAAAAGGAAGACAAAAGTAAATTATGCCAGGCAAGATGAAACAAATCTGGCTGCTGCTGTTTCAAACACTGGCGACTTCTTGTGTCTAGAGAAAAACAAAACAGACAGAGAAGAGTTACCATTTTCACCTCTCCCTAACTTAAATCTTGTTCATTGCCAGGTCCTGTTTTCCAAGTAACTGTGGAGACTGTCTCTCCCAGTAGAGTGCAATCACTGAGAATTGTTTCCTTGTCTCTGTTACCTTGGTAATCTTTTTCTTTTAGTGCTGTGAGTGTAACTTTCTAAGCCTCTTGAATCCTGCTCAACTGCAAAAGACTTGGAGAGAAAAACTGAATAGTTGCTGCTATTAGTGTTGTTTCTCACGTAGTTGTATGTTGAACAGACAGACATTACAAAAGAGTTACAAAATAGATAAGCAAAATTTTAATATTTTGGGGATTCATCTGCATAAAAATCTGAATGAAAAGATAATGAGTTTACTCTGAAACTTAGGACTGTGAATTTGTAGGTACCACACAGATAGGTCCTGTAGCAACTTATTAGCAGCTTAACAAATAATGTTAAGAGAGAGTAGAGGTAAATAGATTACTGTAGTGGAGAGATTTTAGGATGAGTCCTGTTTATTTTGTTTCGATAACAATCTGAAACAGGAGGGAAGGTGATTTTTAATGAAATTAGGTGATACTAAACTGGGACAAAGCACACTGCTCAGTGAATTTATCCAGGGCATGTAAGTGGGGCTAAAGGGGTTACAATATGATACCACTTTTTCTTCTCCTCACAAGCAAATGTGAGCTAATCTACCTTGGGAGCAATGCTCTAAAAATGTTCATAATGTGTTCAGCAGGAGGGTAGAGCTTAGGAACCTGCTGATGGCAAAAAAGATCTAGTGAGGAGGGTAAAAACAAACTAATCAGGATAATTTTTGTCTGATTACACACATCACTCTAATTTTAATTATCTGCCGGAAATTAGTCATATAAACTTTTTTCCTTTTTTTTCTTTCTATATTTTTTTCTTCTGCCTATCTGGTATAATAACTTTATCTAAAAACCTGCATTGTTTTGATGTCAGATGGAAAGACTAGATTTAATCTTATCAGATGTGAAAATTGAACAGTGGTCTGAAAAATGAGATCTGTGAACTGCTTGAAAGATGAATATTCACTGATTTGCTAAATTATTATAAGTCTAATTTACTGCAGTGCAATGCAAGTTCAAAAGACTAGAAAAACATGAAACTCAGATGTGTAGGGATACTTTGACATAACAAAGCATGTAGTAAAATAGGAGGTTGAGGAAAAACAAGTGAAATGCCATTGCCTAGAATTTTTTGTATGAGGCTAAATGTAAGCCAGCAAACTTACCAAGGGCTGTTGAGAAGAACTCTGTGGAGATAGCAGTTTAGAGTACTGTGAAACTGTTTCAAAACAGTTTCTTATGTTTCTTGAAGGAGCAAAAATTGTCAGTCCGTTTTCAAATTTTGAGTAGAGGGCATACATGAGCCTTTTCTGTGAGGTCTTCTGAAGTACTCACAGTCTCTGAATCAATTTGATGAACCACAATGAAGGACATCACTTACATATCTCCTCTCAGATGTTTAGGAATATCTACCTTTTCCCCAGGCTGTGGGATATAATTTTACTAGTTTTCAATTTCCAGCTTTTGAATGAAGCCAGGCATCAGCGAGGAGCTTTAAATTGTGTTCTGCTCGCAAAGCCCCATCCCCAGTCAGTTCCATTTGGCTCCTGGTAGCTGCATTCCTCTTGCTTTGCACTCCCAAGACATCCTTCCTTGGGAGGAACTTGTTGTGATGGACTTCAAATACTAGAGAGAGAATTTGAATACAGAAGCTGTATCTTCTGGAGATTTCCAAAACGTCTTCTGATGCCAGATGTTGTCAGCTGCGTTTATCTCTGTTGGAACTTTTGGTTGTATGTGGCTTAAGTTTTAGGTAGGATTTTCAGGAGGCAAGACTGAGTGAAACAAGTCTGCTTGAATTGATTTGAGTATCATCAAATAATACATGTTTTGGGTGTCAGATGTACGTAAGTGTTCTATGACTTAACATTGAGATCAAATGATTTGAGGAATGCTTTTTTTTTTTTTTAATTGCAATATATGTATTTTTTTTTATGAGCATGTTATAAATACCCGGCTTCTTGTGTCAGGCTGGGAGGAGAAGAGGGAGTGAAAGGATTTGTTCTAAAGAGAGTTGGTGCTGATGGGGACTTAAGAAGTAATAACTGTTTAATTTTTCAGAAAAACTGTATGAATTCTAATTACTGTGAATGAAGTATGGTGTTCTGATCTATCTTATTTAGGATCTAATTGCACAATACCAACTTTGCAAACATTCTCTTGTTGGCTGTGCTCTCAGTAACTGTTTAGAGGAACAATACCAGGAAAAAATAATAGGAAGTAATCAGTCTGCTTGGTGTAAAGTTTCCTTATACCCTGTACTTTCAGATTCTGTCTGATCAGCACCATTGGCAAGATGTATTGGAACGATCTGGTCAGGTTATAGCTGTGGCAAAAGACTTGCTTGAGGCTGCTCCTCGCACACGAACAGGTAGAACATCTTATCTCTATGTGGTAGCACATTTAAGATGATCTCCTTGCTTTCCATGAATAGTCTTGCTTTGCAAAGCTTTCTTTTTAACTGCTTTAATCTCCTTGTCTAACGTGTTGTGATTGATCCTGTTCCTGTTGGATGAAACACAGGTGAGGCTATCAGCTCCTGTGGCAGGGGAGAGGGACTGATGGCTGGTTACTCCACTGTATTGCTCCAATGTGGAATTTCACATCAGGTGCTCTGAAACACCTCTATGCTGACCATTTCACAGCCAAGCTACTGGCCTGTGCAGAGCACCAGTTTGAGCTGCTGCCATAGTTCTGATTCTCATTGCTGCATGAGCTAACTCTTTGCTCTTGGATATTGTTGATGATTTATCAGCAATATCAGCTTTTCCTTTTCTTAATTTGGCTTGTGGATCCTTGTGATGCTGGAAGGCAGGATTGGCTGGCTGTATATGAAATCTTAAACCTAGGGGCTTTTCTCTGTAGGCTGCCATTCTCTTTTGTTCCTGGTGACTTTGATCCTGCAAGCTGGTTCTGCACAAGTGAATTTATGCAGGTGGGAAGGACAAAAGCTGGCCCAGTGTATTAAATTAACCCTGTGGTCGGTCTTTGGTTGTTGTTTAAAGTGACATCCCTGTGACCCTTTTTTTGTGAAGTACAGGGGCTTGATTTTCAGTACAAAGTCCTGACACATAAATACAGACCAAGCCCTCTGTGTTCTTTCCTCTGTTGTTTAATTCCTCTAGGTTTTCCTAATGTAACAATGGCTCCTAACTGTGACTTAGAATCATCTCAAGGACCCATTGTACAAAAAAGTCATCCTCCCAGCCAGCTTTCCATCCTTAGTGAATCTGTCATGGATTCCCAGGTAATGTATATTTTGTTCCATCCATACACATCCTTTGGATTTTTTGTTTAAACAAAATAAGACTATTCAAAGACAAGAATTTCCAAGCAGAACTAAATTGGTTTTTGTTGATAACATTCATAGAAGACATGATTAAACAGAGGTGAGTTTCTTTTTTGATTTAACTACTGGATATGAGAAACAAAATCATTATGTCTTCTAGAAGCTCTCTCAAATTAGCATGCCCTCCTTTTTAAATTCTGGAATGCTTAGAAAGAATACAATGTGATTAAAGTCTAAGAGAAGAACTTCTGTGTCACTTAACTAATTGCCAGATTTCAGAATATGTCTCTGATCTACCAATTATGTCTGCATATATGGGGACACAGCCATTTGTATCCCAGTTCACTCCACAGCTTTGATGACTCCTACAAGTTTAACTTTTAATATTTCACATTATTTTACATTTATTCAGATTTGTTGTAAACAATTTAAAAATTGTTCAAAACTTAATTTAGTTCGCCTTTGTGCTCCATTTTCTTTTAATAACATATTGTACCAGGAATGCTCACTGGGGTTTGAGAACAGGCATGTGATACTCCCAGAAAACTTCTCTCTGATGAAGACCAAACAGGTTGTTGGGAGCAAAAGTGATGGTGTCATATTCCCACAGTTCTCTACTTCCATTTCTTATTGTCTTGCAAAAATACCTGTAATTTGAGTTGTGGTACTTCTGTGTTAGGTATTGTGGTGTGGTATTTGTTTTTCCATTTTTTTAATATGAGGAGTGAACTGCAGCACCTTTGTTAGCTGTATCACTGGATGCGAGCTGCAGGATAAGCTGAAATTTTTAAAAGAAACAGGCACTGATTATGTGTGAAGCTTCTGTGAGTTCTTATGTACCTACAAAAATCACAGTTAAAGGCTATCTGGTGAAACCTGTCCAGCAGCTCAGAAACCTGGTAGTTTGAGCAACCCTGATTCCAAATTTAGTTGTTTATATTTAGCTGTAAATGTAGTACATAGGATTGTGTTTTGTTCTAGTTGCATTTTACATACAGTCTATAAATGTAATTTTTCAGGTCTCATTATGAAGTTGTTTAGCTTGTAATGTCAAATGACTGAAGTGTTATAAATGGTATGGATTCATGTTGCTTTTCCATATTTTTCCTGTTATATCTCTGTTTTGGTACAGCCTTAATGGCTTTTATTTTATCCTCTAATTTGCATGGCTTTTCATATTTAATATAAATCATACAAAGAAAATAATGGTTATTGAATTAGTCACCTGCTTTGTTATTTTCAGAGACAATTGTCACTATCAGTGTTTCTTAGGTACTAAAGTCCCCCAGAACTTCCTGCAAAGGGGTGTGGATTTGGTTTTTTTTTTTTCTGTGTGGTATTTTTATTTTAAATATGTTTTGGGGGGAAAGACTAAAACAAATGTTTTTGGTTTTTTTCTTGAAACAATTCCATTAAATTGGTCTCTGACTTCTTCTGAATTCTGTTTTGTTTTCTTTGTTGTCTCTTGAGAAGGCTCTTCATGAAGAGGAGGAGGAAGCATTAGCAGAAGATGGACACCATGATGTTTTGGGTTTCAAATCCAGGATCAATTCTGACAGGTCAGTACAAATATGGTTTTCCACCTGCTTGACACTGGAAACAGGTGGAGTTAAAAGGGTGTTGAATGGGTATAGTTAAGTTAGTTCTTCTCTTTCCCTTTGCCCTCCTTTCCTGATCTCAGAATTCCAGGGAAGGGCCTTGTTGTAACATTGAGAGTGGGAACGAGAGTGAGTAGGGAACTCACCTGAGCAATTGCAGATAATTTTAGGAGCTCTGTCAAGACAGAATCTGGAGTCATGCCATTGTCATGTTACAATTCACTGTTATTCTTGTTTTGAATATAGGCTACTTCGGTTGTTGAGAAAAGGAAATTCCTTGGTGAATTCTCCATTGTGGGTTGAAAAGGATATGAGAAAATCCACCTTATCACAGGAATCCAATGTGCCTTGCACTCCAACAACTGTTTCTCCTTCACTGGATCACTCAGGTTGGGTTTGCCAAATCACAGTATGGTTGTTGGGCTGTTCGTAGGATCCTGTCTGGAGTTCCTGTAGGGGTCAGAGACAGAAATGTATGCTGATTTGGCTCAGATGTATTTCCAGACTAAAAAGCCATCTCTTATAATACAATTACTCTAGAACCCACTAGTATTAAGAACATGCCTGAAATATTTGACATTTTTTTGTTTGTTTTGTGTTTAAATCAGCCCTCAATGCTACCAGTGTAATCAAGAGAACACATTCAAGACTTCGGAATGAAGATGAAGAAGAGTCTGTAGACTCCAGTGACACTGTGAGACAAGTGCTGAACCCAAACTCAAGAAAACAAAAGCAAATTGCAGCAAAGAGTTAAGTACTTTTAAAAATAAAATACCCTTTGTCCAAGGTCCTTAATGTTTTAAGAAAGTGTGGGTTGGAAGGGATTTCTGGGAGTCATTGAAGGGCTAATACCAAAGTTTGATGAGGGGGTCCTTGAGTCTTGAGTATTTCTCAGGCTGGATGTTCCACAGCTCCTTGTCTAGTGTATTTTCCTGTGTTCTGCATGTTCATTGGCAAAGCAGAGTCCATGGGAATTTGGGAACCATAAAACAGCCCTTTGAGGCTGCCAATTACCTTGCTGGTCATGGAGTTCTCTCCTGTGCAAAACTTCTCTAGTTCTGATCCAGATTTGTGTTCTGTGCTGCAGAGACTAAGGATGCATTTCAGTCCCCATATTCTTCGTGTTTGTATGAGGGGACTGACATCAGTTACAAGCTGTAATATGTAAGGAGAGTTGCTTACTGAGTATGAGAAAGCAGCAGATGTTTTTCATTAGCAAACTATTTCCATGCATTTAACTGGAAAGGAGAAAAATGCAAACAGGTGTATCCAAGACAAAAGCACCAAGCAGTTGTGCTTGAGAGGTACTACTGTGGCAGCAAAAAATGTGCTTTTTAGGCTCTGAGAATAGCTGGAATAACTGCGGACATTCTTTGATAGTCTGTTTCATCTTATGGCAAGAGAGGGCGTTTCCTTTGATTTATTTCAATAAACAATGCAATTTCATTGGTACTGCAAAGATCTCTAAACAAGTTGAAATTCCATTTACCTCTTTTTCTTCTCCTTCAGTGAAAAGAAAGCAAGCTGAACAGAACTCTGCAAGACAGAAGAGAGGTGATTCTCCAGCTAATTTAATCCAGACTGACCTTCAGAGGGACAGCAAACCCAGCCTAGATGTTCTCAGCCACATGATCCAGGAAGTAGAGCGTGAACTGGAGGAATATGAGCGATGTACAGGTCGTGAGGTCCCAAAAAAAGAGAGGAGTGAAGGCCTGTCTGGGTTTACTCTGTCATTGGTGAACGCTCTCTGTCGCTTGATGCGCTACCTCAGAGAGGTGAGAGACTTAGAACTGCTCCTGGAGAGTGAGTGATGAAGGGTGTAAAGTTATTTTACAGATGGGAACTTTGGTCTTTTCTGGCTTCCAAGCATTTCACATTGAACTTACCAGTACTTATTACTAGGTTTGCATGCAATTAGGAGTTAAAACTTTTGGTTTGTCAGGAACTGGTTTGTTAGGAATTAGTATCACTAGTGAAAATGAAGGAGTTGACTGCAGTGAAAGTCTGTATCTAAGGGCAGAAAATACCTACTGAAATAATTCAAAATTATTATTCACATATACTCAGAGTTGTAGCAGGGTAATAACTACAGCATTGTTTGCAAATTCACTTTCTTCCTTCGCCTCCCAAAGGTGATGCTGTTGTCATCAGAGCAGTGGACCCAAATCCCTTATTTTCCTTGAGGGATTCCTTAGTCCTCTTTTTACTGTCCATAACAGAAACTTTACCTTAAGCAAGAATGACCTGAAGTGCTCACTGTAAGAATGCACAGCTAAGAATTAATGGAATTCCATAAAGATCACCTGTGTGCCATGTAGAAGCTTTTTTTTTTCACAAAGAAAAGGAAAAGAGTGTACTAGTTAATCTGTATCCCAGAGCTATTAAGAGGCAGCAGTGCCTCACAGATTCATTTGTTCTGTGTGACGTTTTAAACTACTTTATGACAGTTCCTGCACTCTTAATAGGTGCAGCAGATTATATTATCTAAATGCTAATGCTCTATTTTATAGCAAAGGTAATAGATCTCTAATGAATGTGGAACTGTCTAATTTTGGTTCCTTTTCAGGGGGTATAATAATTGAAAGGGGGAAACCCATCTTGTTTTAAATTTTTTTTCTTACCAGATGTATAATAACTTAATCTTTGTATTACTCTGTATTTAATCTGTATGGAAGAATTTACTTTGATTAAGTCCTGTAAGCAAATAGTAAATAATCAATCCAATAGTGAAAAGCAACTGCCATCAGAAGATGGACTTCAGCTGAGAAAGTCTTTTGTTTTAAAAAAAGTTTATAATGCTTGGTTTTTGTTAAAATTGTAATACCAAAGCAGAGAATTAAATTTGGTTCTTTTGCCTAAGGAACCTTCCTTAGGTTCTTCTAAGATCCTAAGGAAATATCTTAGGATTTCAGTAGCATGTTTTCTGTTTATTAGGAATACATCGATTTAATTGAATCCAGTTTGTGTTTATAATTGTAATTGCAGTTATAATCCCATTTAGATAATCTTTCATGTTTCTACAGAAATGCGTTATTCCTGAGCCTCAGATGGCTTCCAAAGCTACTCTCATAATTTTTCTTGTTACCATTAAATCCTTCCAGAAGTTGATTGTTTGCATAATTGTCTGCCACACACACAAATTTACTACCTAAATTCTTAAGTAAGCAATATTACAAAATCACTCAAGCTGCATAATGTGGTTAATTGTATTCAGGCTTGCTTGAGATAGATACTGCATTCATATCCTAAAGTGACTTTTCTCCTTTGCAGGAAGGTTTAATTATAATTATAATTTGAGAATTTGCTGGGAAGAAGCCCAGCTTGTCTTAGAGTGTTTCATAAAACCTGGTCCCTGTGATGCCAGACATAGATCAAGCACATGTGTGCACCATCTGTCTTGCCTAGCCAACAGAGTTAGCAGACTTCCAATGCCTGAATTATAACTGACAGTGCTTTTTAGGAAAATGACTTTGCAGGGGATCTTTAAAAAGCCCCTGATTTTAGTTAAACAGTCAGTCTTCATGAGGTTTCAAAGGTTTTAGAGATTCCCTTTGTCTCCTTCCAGTTTTGTTGCAGAAAATCAGAATTGCAATAAAAGATGTTGCCTAATTTATTCTTACAATTGTATCTAAAAAGTAGAAAGAGAAACTTGAATTCAGGAATCTCCCATGAAAGTGTTTTTATTAAGTGATTAATAAATCAACACCTATAAGAAGGAAATAGTGGCTATGGAAGAGGCTAGAGAAAAGGAGGAAAAGAAACTTCTGAAATATTTGCAAAACTATATTAAATTCTTAAAGGGAAATGGATAAATCTGATTTGGTTTCTAAACTGATTTTTAGATCACCTTCCAGATGTTAGAATTAATCATTCCCTCCTCACCCTCATTCTGCTGAGAAAGCTGTTTCTTTGCCAGACCCACATGACAAAAAAGAGTATGGGCATATTCCCTGGCTCTGTGCTGCTCTGTTCTTCCTGTCTGCTGCATGTTCTGGTGCAGTGTTAAAGCCCCCATGATTAGAGCCACACCTGGCAGTGGGCTGGGATGAAAATACTTCTTTCAGGGTATACCAGACTTAAATCCTGCCTAGGGATAGGAATAGATGTTAACCCTGATGGTTTCCCTGTGCATAAACGTAGGACAGAGCTGCTTGGAAGCTTTTCCTCCGAGACTAGGTTAGTGCTGTGTAAGATTAGTAGATACAGTAGCTGGTCCAGATGATCTAAGGCATCAGAATCTTCATTGCTGCTGCCAGGGGAGAAGTGCTTCTTTTGTGCTGTCCTTCATTTCTGAAAAGAGAAGACCAGGTACAGGTTTCTTTATCCATTTTCTGAAGTATGCTTCACTTGGATCAATACAAAAAACCCTCTCCTCTCTAGCTGGAAGGGAAACAGAAAATGGATGGTTTGCTTCTCATATAATTGAGGGAGGTGTATCTGCCTGTCTTTGTGTCTAGTGGCAGTGAGTTAGTCTCAAAAATATTCATTTATTAATTCATTTCATGTGGATGCAGAGCTATTTAGTTATCATACTTTTAAAACCCTCTAGAACTTCTTCTCTGTTGAAGGAAAACATTAGAAAACAAGTAGATTCTCCTTGACTTAGTCAAATTTGTCTTCATTAATGAATTAGGGAAACTAAAGATTAGGCACAAGTAGCATGGGAAACTGACGAGCATCAGCACACCTGGAATTATTTGATTCCTGCATGAAGATTCAGTGACTTAAGAAACTGTATCTGTGCAGAGAGAAAATGCTGTAGTTCTGTCGTGTAAAGGCAGAAGAGCAAGGATTGCCTACAGTGTCCTGGAGGATCAAAGATACACAGTAAGCTCTCTGACAGTTCCCAAAGCCAGATAATTCCACTTCGTTATGAAAGTAATGAAATTTAGCAGTAGTGGGAAAAGCTGTTACATTATGATGTTATGATGACTCCTGTTTTCAAATATGAGTCTGTATTGGTTTATAGTAAGTTTTCAATTTTTTTCTCCATCTTTAGGCTGAAATGCAACTGCATGAGAAAGAGATGGTGAGGCAGCAGCAGAAAGAGATGTTGAATGAACACAGAGAGCTGATTGATGCTCTGACAGCTGAGGTTCTTCAAGTAAGGGAAGAAAACATTACTATGCAGGTACTGAGCCCTCCTTGCTTTTTACCCATCAGGATAAATGTTAGAATTATGAGTTCTGTTGCAAATATGGGCTGAGATGCATTGTCTCGTGTTCTGGAGATTTTAACCATAAACAGTGATAAAACTGAATGAGGACCTTGAGAATTACCGTAGCAGGTATGGCTATGAAATGTTTGGAAAGTTGTTTTTTTATCTTTATTTAACCTCAAAGCCTGAGAAAATGCTGGTTCTTTGAAACTGACCTTTATTTTATCCATCTAAAAGCTTAGGCATCTTCCTTCACACTTCTATACTGTTAACACTACTGGAGCAATGAGTAGATGTAATACTACATTTTCCTTTTTTTAGTTTCCAGTGGAGGTAGATTTGATGATTGGCTACATTTGGGAATGATGCAATTAATAAACTTTAGAGAGGAAGTAATGTCATGTAAGAAAAGGCAAACCAAATGATTTATAAATGAGAAACGTGGAGACAAAAATATTTAATCCTAACTGGAATCCTAAAGAATCATGCAGTAGTATTAAGAGACCAAATTTCTTCTCAGGACTTCTTGTAGTATATAATTTTCTAATTTATGTTGGTAGAACACAAATTTCTGTAATTCTGTGTATGGGGTTTTTCCCTCCTCTAGAAGAAGCTTCAGCAATACATGACAGTAACAGATCAAAAGCTGATGTGCCTCACACAAGCATTTAAAGGCCTACCTTTGGTAGAACCTGAAAGAGAACAAAGTCCAAAACATTTTGGAATTGCAAGCAGAGGCCCAGCAAACGGCCAAGGTACGTACAATGAATGTGTGAAGGATGAAAGAGGCGTTGTTACTTTATCCCTGTAGTGGAAAATCTGGTATTTAATAGATGCCTGCTTGCACTTGCAAGTTGCTCTTGCAAGACTGTGAATGTCACTTCTCTAAATTCACAGGCCATATGTTCTGCTGTGGGCACAAGCCAAGGAGGACAGTAGCTTCCCCCCATTAATGTGGCTTCCAAAGTCAGTTTCATTCTGAGACTCCTAAAAGAACCCCAGACACCCAAAGAAGTCAAACCCAACAGAATCAGCATCTCAGCTCCCTGTTGCTGAGCGGCCTGACAGTCTCACATTGGTTCTTCCATACGACACTGGAGGTCGCTGCTGGCCAAAACAGCAGCAGCTGAGGCCCAGAACCCACCAGTCAGAGAGGTGTCACTTGGTGTTTGTGATTCTGTGCAAGAGTGACCAGCTGAGTGATGTGTGACATGGAGACAGGCTAAGCTGAGCCAGTAGGTTGGTGCCAGACTAACCAAACATGATTCACCTTGGCCTGTTAGCCACCTTTCACCACTGAGTTTCCTCCCAGCTGTCTTTCCTGGTCAGTTGTTTAAATGTGTTGCTGTTGCTCCTGAAGTCAGTAACTTCGTGTGAATCCCAAGATTTCTGAGTTACTTGTATTATATAGTTAAATGTTGGGTTTGTGAATCTTCCTGTAGCTAAAAGCTTTCTTCCTCGAAGGATTTTCTTCTTTGGAAGAAGACACATACCAGACCATTTTGATGTGATTGACCCAGGTCTTGTAAAAGCAAACAAAAGGAAACCACCCCCCAAAATCCGAAGTCCAAACAGTCAGAAAAGCACCGCTCAAGAAAACCCCAACCTAACACTCAAACCTTCACATTCAACAGTTCTACAGCACTAGAATTTTCAAATCTCTTCCCTAGTTAAAGGAAGAATAATTTTTAACTGAAGAGATGTCTTATTTGAATTAAATTATAATAAAGTCAGAGTTCAAGAAAGCCTTGAATTGTTTTCTAACAGCATTGTTACAATCAAATTTATAATATGGGGGATTAGGAGAAGTGCATAAGTCTGATCTTCTCAAGAGAATATTGCCAAATGCAGCTCAGATACCTGTTCAAGTCATATATCTGTAAGTCTTGTGCATGAGCTACAAACAGATGTCATTCTACTGTCCTGAAATTGCGAGGCTATGTGTAAGATTTCTTCCTGCTCTTATGGCCAATAAAGATTTATAGTTTGCTTGAGTGAAAGAATTCTGTACCTGAACAGCAGAAGAAAGGTGTGGAACATATTCTACTCTTGTCTGTCTTTTCAGGTATCTGAACATAGGAGTTGTTACTGATATTTTTCTTACACTGCTATTTCACTATAAGTAGTTTTTGTTCCATTTTTTGTTTGGTTGGTTTGTTTTGTTCATTTGCTTAACTTTTATCCCTGCTTTGTCTTCAGAAAAACCTGATTTGACCTACTCTGAGCCCAGGACTGAAGCAGGCAATAGGGAAAATATGCTGAAATTTCCACAGGAAGAACTTCCTTTCACCTGTCACCCAGGGCCAGGTGCCTCAGCTGATATGAGACCTGGTAGAAGCTTCCCAGCTCACATCTTCCAGCCAGCTGTGCTGTTGTCCCCACCACAGCAGAAAAGCACTCAGGAATTGTCTTCCATCCAGAATGGTGAGATCTCTTTGACTGCGGTAGACTTAGGAGTCTGTGTGTGTGTTACTGTTTCAGTCTCACACTACCTCTGAAGATGTATTTTCCATGGAAAATTTTTAATCAGTATGCTTAGATATATTGGCCCAATAGCTGGAATATCCTACTACTGCACCCAGATAGGCACTTCCTTTGTTACTACGCCTGTTACTGGACAGCTTTTACACTTTCTGTTTTCCATCTGCTGGCAGCAGTCCTGCCAGAGGCAATCCAGACTGACATTTTTATTCTGTACTCATTTTGATTATCTTACCTGTGTGATTGCTGAAGCTCTTTGTGAATGACCTGCAGCACATCATTTCAGATCTGCTGATTGTGTAGTCCAGCCCCCGTCACCTTTTAACGGTGGGACCACTGAAGCCTGGGACTTCTGTTTCTGCAATGTTGCAGACACAACAGGATGTCTGTAGGCTGTGTGCTCCTGCTTTGAGCCAATCTTCCCTGCAAAGGAGTTTTTAGAAGTTGTGGGAGCCAGGTTTCATTTGGTTTCATTCAATGCACAGGAAATGGTTGAGGAAATTTTGTGTGAAATTGTGTTGCCAGATAACCAGGTAGCTCAGTCAGTATCCATAGCTCAGTTCTGGTTCAGGGGAGGAATTAAGTTCATCAGAGTGATTAGGGAAGTGTTTCTCATTTATTCTTACTGAAGTGAGCAGAAGGAAGCACTCTGTGATTCTAAAACTGAGCTGTTTCCTGCTGCAATTTTCACTGAAAGCACATGCATCCTACTGGACATGCCAGGGTCCTGGATAACACTCTTGTTGAGAGGTAGATAATTACATCCATGGCCAGAGTGATGGTGGCTGACAAGAAGGAGGGTACAGGAGTGGGTTTTGGGGTTTTCCTCCTTTTTCCTCCCTTTCAGCTATTGTTTTGTCAGCCTTTTCCAAGTCAGAAAAACAACCAAAAGTCCTTTTGATTTTTAAGGAGTTGGCTGGGCAAGTGTAAGTTTATATCTAGTTCAGCCACTTGGTGGGCTGCTGTGCTGTGAGGAGGTGCATAAACAATCTGGAGGAAATGAACTAAAGGTCTTGCTCTACAAAGAGCAATGTCTGGTTTCAGTCCCATTGAGAACTGTCAGATGTCTTCTGTCATTTGAAATAGCAATGCAGAACTGTATTCCAAGATTTCTCTAAAATATATTGTTCTTCTTTAAGACTGATGCTAGATGGCCCAACAAATGTTAAACTTAATAAATGTTTCTTTATGCTCATAGCTTCATAAAACACACTTGAGTGTAAATTTTTAAGTATTCATCTCCGCTCAAGAGGCAAAAACTAAAGCTTGTGAAGGAATGGGCTATTTGGTGTATGAAGCATGGAAAATTTGGTTTTGGTTACAAAAGTCGAGTTGGACTGTCATAGCAGCAGACGGTGCTGTAACTGTAGACATGTCTCTGTGGTGTGTTATCTCTTTGCTGATGATGACCACAAAAAAATACCTCACTACTTTTGTTGGCTACAGTGCTTCCTCTTTAGGGGCTAAGTAGTTAGTTTATTATCATGCCAAAAGTCTTCTATGTTTTTCTTTTAGAATCTAAACGTTTTGTTTATAACCAAATATAAATATAAAATAAAAATATAACTGAAAGGAAAACTTAGTTTGTCAGGTAAAGTAACTGAATTTTCGAAAATGGAAGACTAAGAAGTAGTATTTGATCGGTCAGCTAAGAAATTCAAAACAATTTATCTTCTTAGTGACTACTCTGTCAATCTCAAATTAAATCATTTGAATGTAAGACTGCAATAGGAAATAGTCACCTAGTGAGTTCTTACAGCAGGATGTTGCATAGAGTGGTTTTGATCAGTACCATAACACCATTCAGGCCAGATATTACAATTCAAATTTCTGCTTGATTATTAGTAACCTGATTCGATAAAGTCACTATTAGTCCCCTCAGTGAGCAGTAAAGTCACTGTTAGTCTCCTCAGTGAGGATCTCGGTGTTCTTACTGTTTCTTTATTTTGTGTCTGTAGTGTTTGCAGCCATTTCCCAGTCTACTGAAAGAGAGCCATGCAAGGAAAGGATCTTGCCTTCCTCCTTGAGGACACAGAGCACAACTGAGGAGAACTGCCCCACCTCTCAAAGGCAGCCAATTCTTCCTGCAGACAAAGACTTGGAGAATTCCCATGACAAAACCAATCTGTCCTGCCCAGGTGACACTGGAAAAAACAGCACAGCTGAAGAGTTCCTTCAAAATGGTGATCTACTGGGACAGATAGCTGAGCTGACACGGCAGAATGCTCTAATGAAAGCTCAACTGAGCCAATTCAGAGGTGCCTCTGGAGACAAAAGTGATTGTCTGCATCAGCCAGACTTGACACAAAATACAGATCCCAGTCCAGACTCATCACAAGGACAGGTCAGAATTTAACAGAAAAGGAACGCTGGATCTCTTTTCTGTTGATTTGCTTTCCCATAGTTTACTGGTGCTTTTTGTCTTTCATATTGTCACTTACTATTTGTTTGCTTGGAGACTTGTGATTTTTGTTATTATTCCATAAGCCAGTAATCAATAGCTTCTTGTATTGGGCCTGTGTTGTACGTGGGTTCTGAAGAAGGTTATAAGGTTATGCTGCAGAAAGAGGTGGTGTTGTAATGTGATCCAAGCTCTTGTACTTTGGATGCTGTTAGCAGTGAAAGCACTGCACCAACCCACAGCTTCTTGTCGAGCTTGTAAAATGCATATTTAAAGCCATGTCATACATCTCTGCTACTCTGACCCAAAAGCAGATGAGATTCAAGTTAGTGCAAGTACATCCTTTGCAAATGTTTGGTCATAGTGTATATGCTTGTTGGTTCTATCTTGTCAGTCCTCTTCTATGAAAATCCCAAAGATTTTGGGAGAGACTTTGAAGGCTTCAGTTTAAGAGGAAAAAAATTAACCTGCAGCTAAGCAGTTACTTAGTAGGATCCCAGTGAGTGAAGTTAACATCACAAAAAAAATCCCTGCCCTTGCTATTGTCTTTTGTTCTATCACAGTGACTGCTTGACTGTTAAATTAAGGATCCCAAAGATTGTTAATTTCTTCATTTAAATGTAGGCTGAGTGTGTTGTCACTTTCCACACTGGGGTATGTTGTGTAATATTTAGTCATTTGGTTGTACAAGTTGATGCAAACCCTTAGTAAGTGTTGTTTTTGTGGAAGCAATTAGCGAGAGGGAGGGGAAGAGGTCAAATAAATCAAAACTTGGCATAAATATGAGTTCCAGGACACTTCTGCCAGAAACCTGCTTTTGATTGTGTGGAAGCAAAAGCAGGTTTCAGAATATGTGTCTCTCTGATTAAGTATATTCTTAATTATAGTTAATTGCTGGGTGTTTATTTGGTTTGGTTTTGTGGTTTGTTTGGGTTTGGTGGGGTTTTTTTTTGGGGGGGGTTGTTTTTTGGGGTTTTCTTTTGTGGTTTAGGGGGTTCTTTTGAGTGGGGGTTTGGGGTTTTTTTTCTTCCTCAAATTGTATAGACAACAGCTGTATTTTTCCTACTTGAGGGAAGACCAGTATAAAATACTGTAATGTTTAATCAATTGAGAACTTAGATAAAGGACAGTAAAAGGGCCAAAATCAAATTTTTCACAGAAGTGCTACATAATTATATTCACTTTCAGTTTGAAAATGAAATGCATAGAAGTACTTGAAATATATTGTATGCCCTCCTTTAGAGTGAAAATTTTAAATATTTCATTGGAAGTAATTATTCCATTATCCAAGTAGAGTCATCTCATGGTATCAAGGAGCTTGGAGGAAAGAATAGCGGAGCTGACTCGCCAGAGTACAGAAGCACGGGATAAACTGTTGCAGTTGATAGACCAGCAGAAATCAGCTGCTGCTGATACAGTCCCTCCAATGGTGTCTCCTGTTCTAACCCCATCCCTGAATTACACTGGTAAGTACCCAGCTTCAGGAGAAACAAAAACTAGTCAGGCAGTGTTTTTCTCCTTTGGTGAGTCCTTATCTTACTGGATCAGTGGCTGTGGTCAGAAGTACACTTGCTGTTAATGCCTGTGTGGTACAAATACCTCTTACTTCAGAGAGCTAAAAATATATCAGCTAAACCTCTGCTGAAGTTATCTTCTTAGTAATTAGTCTGTGCTTCATTGTTAAACCTGTTCTTTGGTTTGTTCTTGTCTGAAGAACAGGTGCTACATTTGGACATTAGTAGGAACTTCTTTACAGAAAGGGTTGTTGGGCATTAGAGTAGGGTGCACAGGGAGGTGGTGGAGTCACCATCCCTGGAAGTGCTTAAGGAAAGATTGGATGTGGCATACAGTGCCTTTGTCTGTTTGGCAAGGTGGTGTTCAGAGGTTGGAGGTGATGCTCTCTGGTGTCTTTTTCAACTTAGTTGATTCTCTGATAATCTCTGCTGGTCAGCACTGGGCTTTTTAATCAGCCCTCTATCATGCAGAATCCTGCGTGAAATAGACTGAAATATTTACATCAGGCTTCTAAAGCTTATGGCAGAACGGTCATCCCACTCTCAGCCCCATTTTAGTTTTCGTCTTTTGGGTACTCTTTCCATCAGATTGTCTTGCTGAGTTACTGCCTGTGCTAATAGAAAGGAATAACTGGAGCTTCCAGTCATGTAAAGAGGTAAATTAGCTTATGGAGTATACTTGCTGGTTCAAGATTCATAGATTAGCTGCCATGTAGAACTATAAAAAAAATTACTTTGCAGGAGGTCAGAGCTCCTTTATCTTTTCATGGTGTCATTGTCATTACAAGCAAAACTGCTTGTGACCGTGTACAGGTCAGAGACATCTGTCCTGTGAAACCACAGAGGATGTATAAAGAGGGAAGGACTTGGAGAGAGGAATATGGGGAAGGAGGGAGCAGTGTGTTGGGTATTTGCATGCAGGTGCCTATGCAGGACTCCTGGGTCAGTTCATAACACTTGCAATGCTTGTTTGGCTGTTGTAATGTAAATTCAGCAGAGTAACTAAAATCTTAAAGCAGCAAAGATGAGAGATCAGAAGTCTCTAACCCTGTAATTACCAACAACCAGAAAATTTAACTGTGGAAGCATCATTCTATATATGTGAGTATTGTGTGTAGCTGCTCCGAGTCTCTGCTTTCATTGTCAGTCATTTTCAGAAAGTGAATGTGAGGTTGGCATTTAACCTGATGTTTTATTTCTGGTCTGTGTATCTGTGCAATTCGGAAGAGATTGTGATGCCTCAGGGAAAAACAGTAAAACAAAATGAATATTGTGCGATGTTGCTGTGTTCTCATCAGAATCAAGCAATTATTTATCACCTAGAAAATGCAAGGAGGACAGCTGAAATGTCTGGTCCCATGGCAGTGGCTGCAGACAGCTCCAAGGATGACAGTGTTCCCCATGCCCGTGTGACCAGTATAAGAAGGTAAAAGTTCAGCCTTTACTGTTTCATATTTGTAGAGTCTTAATTATCCATGCAGCAGAAATTGAACATAATGGAGAAATTGTAGTGTGTTTTTTTGGCTTTGTGGATTTTCCCTTACTTTTTCACATTAAATTTGCAAATGGGACAAAGGTCTAATAGCTTTTTTGCAACTTCCTTTGTTTGTATTTTAAATATCTGCAGTCTGACATAAGACAGATGAGATGTGTTGTTGATGACTGCTGATGAGGGGTCCCAACTCGGGATCAGAAATAACATTCTAGTAGTCACTTCCATTTTTAACTTTTTAAATCTTATTTTGAATATTTCCAGGACTGTAGGAGACTCCAGCAAACCTTTAAGTGCCACATCAGAAAGTACCAAATTAACTTCTGTCAGCCAAAGACCAAAGGTGAGTCTGAAAAATCTTCAACCAGAAAATTTTAATATGTTGTCATAAAAGGAGAAAGATAATCATAAGATGGATGAAGCGAGGCAAGCTCTGTCCCGTTTTAAATATCCCAAGGCTATTATCAGTCACTTAGTGGCAGACTACAGACAATTGGTAAGAAGAGACCTGAGAACTAGTGACAGTCATTATATTCTGCCACAGAGTTGTTTATAAGTAGCTCTTTTCTGCTGTGGCATCTTCGTGTGTTAGAACAGGAAACCTCTGGAAGTCCTTCCCTGGTGGCTCCAGAGAATTTCAAGCCATGATTATGATGTACTGGTAGAGCCAGAGTCAAGAGGCAAGCAAGCTCTTACCTAGCTGTTGCACAAGTCAGTTGCTGAAGGATGAATAAATACAAATGTAAAGAAAGCCCCAGTCTAGATTTCTGACTCCTGATGTGCAAAGAAAAGGATAGACTGTGCTGAGATGCTTTCACAGGGAGATCTGCAGTGGTACAGACTGATAAAACAGTCATAAGAGCTGTTTATAGGCTTGAAAGCAACCATGAGGGCATATCAATAACCTATTTCCTGGTGTCGAGAACGTCCTAAATTAGGTTAGAACCTGATAAGGAGAACCGAGTTAGGGTCCAGGACTTGCTAACCTGACAACAAGCTATACATCCCTAGAAGGGAATTTTAATTTTTGAAATTATTAAGGTAGGTGTGGCTTGAAGTAGGTGGTGTGACTCCCTCCATGGTGCCAATGGCAGACAACAATCCTAACACAAGGATCTATGGAAAATTTACTGTATATTATTCTCAATTGATTTCTTCTTTTACAGATAGAAAAGCAAAAAGAAGAAGGATGGTTTGCATTGTCAATGCATGTTATGTAAAGCAAGCTGACCTCAAGTCCTGTTTTTTTAAAATATTTTTAATGAACTACAAATAAATTACAATATCTCTCTACAGATGTGCAGTTTAATTCTGAAGTGTTTTTATGTCAGTGCCATTAGTATGAAAAGGGCCATGTCCTTACTGTATTTGTGCCCTACAGAGCAATCTAGGAAGCCCTGGGAATGAGTTTCTGAGCTGGACACACTTCTGTGACCTTACACCTTTTCACCAAAAAAATTTTTCATGAGGTTGTAAACTCAGGCTGCTGGAGCTTTACAAGTAAGCATCTTGATACCTCTGTTAGGTATGCTGAAGGCAGGAGGTTTTAGAAATTGCCTTTGAAACTTTCTGGAGCATGTATTTGCACAAGATATGGGAATAAAATGTCAGGAAGAACTGAGGTGAGGGAAGGGACCTGCATTGATAAGGAACCTGGAGATTAGGAAGCCAGTCTGTTTCTGGTGGATAAGTATTTGCATCAGACAGAATTTATTCCTTCTGTGGTTTACAGTTGCTCCCAAAAATTGTGTTTTCTGTGTAGTTAATGTTAGAGATTGCATCTGGACTGGAGGATTGTTTTTCAAAAATCTCATTTAGTATTTTTATAGTAAATATAAAGTGAGTATTTGAAGTTAAAATCAGAATCTTTTTTTCTATACTGAAAGTATGTGTTCTTTGATATAACAGAAAACTGATACATATAATTGTATTAAGGTGGTTTGCTGTGTGTTTATGTAATATTCTAATGCCCATGGTTCTTATATTCATTTTATTTGACTTGTTAAAGTAGTCATTATTTTATTAGCAATGATTACCTATAAAATTTAAGACTTTGAGGAAATGCTTTGTTATCTGTTCCTTAGGTTGTAGTAAACCTTGCCAAAAACATTTATGATGGAGATCTATAAAATGAAAATAATTTGCAAGTCTGGAAAAGAAAATAGCTGCAAGTATCAAAACCAGACTTTTTTTTTTTTTTAACTGTGAAATTTCCTCCTAAAGGTAGTGATAGGATGGAGCCAGCCTCTGTCCTTTTGTCAGTTCAGTTATAGGAGAATGAAGAAAATAATGCTTCTTTTTTTTCTGATTTGTTTTTTTGTAAAGGAAAGGTTCTTCTAAACAGATCTAGAAAATAAAAAAGTGAGATTCAAAAGAGGGTCTGTTCAAATGTTCATTGGCGCTTCCATGATTTATTTTTCCAATGTTACTTTGGGAAGTGAAGAAGGTTTATATTTCTGTATTTTGTGAAATGACAGTTAAAATTGCTTGGAAGAAATACCTCAACTCATTAAGAGACAGCAGTCCCACAGTTGGGATGGGACTACATAACCATAGTGCCACAGGTAATGCTGTTGCCTCTGCTAATGTTTGCTACAAATGCTCTGTAATTAATGAGAATTCCTTTTAGAATACAGGATTGGAATTAATCCTTTGAGTCATCTATTTTCTTTAACTTGGAACTCTCTAGGTGGGAGGGACACATCCATTCCAGATGGCTCCTGTCACTTCCCACCATCTCCACAGCCTGTGACTTCCTGTGGTTCAGGCTGGGGTCACAGAGTGTTCTGTGGTTAGAAATGAGCTGCCCTTGGGATCTCATGGAAGTGTGTTTGCTGGAATACTGAAGGCTAGTAAAGCTCAAGGCAGTGTGTGAGAAACTGCTAGTGCCAGGAGTTTTATGGGGGAGTTGTTTTTTTGTCTGTTCTAGACCAAGAAACAAACTGTAGCTGTTGATAGAATTCAACTCACCAGCTCAAGCTTTGGTGCTTGATAAGCAGGCTGGCCTGTACCTGTCTGAAACAAAATGTTGACTCGTGAGATTAACACCTGCTCCTGTAGGGAACTGGTCAGATTTTATATTTCTTTGTGTGTACATATGTGCATAAAAGTGTTCTTGGTCGGGCCTCATACTGACCTCAAGTCTCATCTAAGTGAATTCCCTGCTCTCACTGCCCTGCAGCAAGGCCAGGTTTTTGTTCCTAGCTCTATCTCAAGTGAAATACCTGCTGTTATACCCTTTTATCTCCTTGTCCCAGCAGTGAAGGGAAAGGAGAAAAAAAAAAAAAAAACAACTCCATTTGTCTTCTCAGTATCAGTATTAAGTGGGCACAGCACCAAGCCTGACAGAACTCAAGAAGTGATTGGACAATATTCTTGGGTACATGGTATTGTTCTTAGGGCTGTCCTGTGCAGGGTCAGTAGTTGGAATTCAATGATCCTTGTGGGTCCCTCCCAACTCTGAGTATTCTATGATCTTTTGCATGTAGAAACTCACAGCCTTTCAGATCACTTCCCTCTCTCAAGTATGCCTGAAGGAAGCTAAAAAAGATTAATGGCCTGACATCAGAAAGAACTTGCTTCCTTAGAAAAGCCTCCTTGGAAAAAATACGGTTTCATCTTACCTTCAGAAAATGTAGGCAGGATTCAGGAGAGATTAAAAAGAATATATATAGCAACAGAAAGCTGAAAGTGGCAGCAGGTGGCTGGAAAGCTGCAGGGAGGGAGGGGAAAGCAGGAATGTCTGGTCAAAAGCCACAGCAAGGGCAAGTCTGCACAAATCCTGTGTTGCTGGGTGGTTTAGCTGCAGCTGCTTTGGTCTTCAAAGAGCTGCTGCCAGCTGAGGGGGATAATGCTTGACAACTACAGACTCTTTCCTGTTTCAAATCTGGAGGACAAGAGAGATCCACACATCTTTTGCTGCTTTCTTTCTATGTTTAAAGTTTTAACACATCTCCATGCCCTATCCACTTCCTGTTTGCTGTTTCAGGGTTAAGCCAAGTCCATGTGTGATGATGGTGAGCCTCCCATTAGTGAGTGGCAGAGGTTTAGGCTGCCAGGTGTGCTGTTCTGCTGCCTTCCTCCTTCACCTCTCCCAGGTTACACTGCAGTGGCTGAAGTCCTGCTGGAGCATAAGTTTGATGTGTGACATCAGCAGCTCACAGAAATGTACTTTGGAGTCCAGCATGAAAATGAAGATACATGGGCTTGTGTTAAATGAGGTAACTTGAGATTCAGTTTAGTTTTGCCTCCAAAGCTCAAAACAAGCCTTAAGAGGAAAAGCTACTGACAGATTTAAAAGAGAGAGTGTATAGAGTGCAAAGGGAGATGTTTGGTAGTGAAGGTGTTTCTCTGGAGAGTGAGTTCCCCTAGGAATGCTTTGTAGAAAATCTCTGAAATCCCAGGACAGAAGTCCTCTCTCTCTGTCCCAAGTGGTGTTCCTAAGCAGGAAATCAGTGTTGTCCTTCTGTTGCAGCTGTCACGTTCCCCCATGTGCCATGGGCTTGCAGAAATTTTGTCATGTGAGACTTGGGCTAGGAGCAATTTACTTGTGCATGTTTGAGGCCCAGCACAAGTAAAGGTCAAATGGCACCTCCTTTTAAAACACAGTTTTAAACTAAAAAACGAGATATTTAGGTTAAATGTTAGGAAGAAATCTTTTACTCAGCGTGTGGTGAGTCCATGGACATCAAGCTGGATGCAGAAAGTGAGGATTGCGGATAACACCAACCTCTGCCTCACAGAAATGCTCCTCTCACCGTTGAAGTGACAATTTCAAATCCATCTTTAGCTGACTGCGGGAGAGGTTCTGCCCAAACTGGGTGATGTTTGTAAATCCTTTGTTGGATTTTCTGGATGAGATTGATATAAAGGAGAAGAGCTATCACCTGGGTAATGATGCATCAAGTACTCCCAGACCAAGCCTGGCAAATCCGCCACGTTTAGAAAAGTCTCTGAAACACAGTAGTTCCCAGGGCTGACAAATTCACAGCAAAACTGGACTTGTTGGTCAACAGGAAAGAATCCATCAGTATGTTCTACTTGTCTTTTCTTTGTAAATTCCCCAAATGAGTAATTTTCCATGCTCCTCTGGCTGCCATTAAGCTAAGTTCTGCTACTTTGACAAGTTCCCAGGTTTCTGTCAACAAGTCATCTTGGTCTTTTCTTCAGTCCTGTTCACCAATGACTTCCATTTCACATAAGAAACAAATAAACTTTTTCAGTTTATTTGTTTCTTATGGCAGAATGTCCAGAAAATAGGTTCAGGAAAGCATGAGGCATCCAGTTCAAAATTTAATAAATGGACTATACCCATGCCACTCACAGAGTCTAGGAGGGAAATTATCCTTTAAAGATTTTTTTGAACATGCTATAAAAAGTTTTACCAATATTCCTTCAGAAAAAATATAAATGGGAAAGCAGCATAAAGCTTTCCCCAGAAGGGCTAATTAGGAGATACAATAGAAATATTAGTCAGAAGTCCCTGACGAGAAGGGAGAAGGAAACAAATATTCCATATCTCAGTGTAATGATCTAGTGTTTAATTGTAGGAAATGAGAAGCAGATAAACAGGAAAAAGAGGAAGGAGGTGGCAGTGAAAGTAAGGTGTGGAAAGACCAGATCACTCAGAGCAACTACTCTGGGAGGCTCTGATAGACATCATTCACAATAGGGGCAGGAAAACAAGTTTAAAGAGGACTTAATTTCAAGTAGATCTTGGGTCAAATGAGAATAATTAGCTATCCATCAACTCTTGTGGAAAAAGGAAGACATTGGCTTAATTTTAATAACATTTTCATTGCTTCATTTATGTAACTATGCTCCTTGATTGGCCTCCAGTGTATATAAATTAACATATTGGATTTTTCATCCATAAATTTTGATCAGTTACAAAGTAAACTCTGAATAATCCAAGATGTGAGATGCTCTGTCAGTCAAGTTCTTTGCAGTGCTTTGCAGACCAATGTGCTTCATTAGAGATATTCACAGAGCTCCAGTTTTCATGTCCACTGAGTTGCCTTCCACAGGTTAGGATGTAGTGGCCCAGGGGCTTCCTCCACTGGATGACAGTACCCAAGAAAGCAATATTATGGGGAAAGTAACCAAAGTGTACCATGAGTTTGTACTAAAGCAGCTCCCGTTTTGTGGGTCACAGGGTTCATTTTTTTGGGTTTTTTTGGTTTTTTCCCTGTATTTCTGCTTTTCCTTTCTTTCCCCAAGTCTCACAGGGCTCCCTTGATGATTCTCTCCAGCCCATTTCACTACAACTTCCTCCAGTCATCCTGAGAGTGCTCCTGCTTTGTACTGGTAACTCATAAATACATTACTCAGCAGTAATCTGTGCTCCCGCCTGATCAGTGGCAGGGCAGCTGATCAGATCAGCTGGGCTGGATCCCCAGATTTCCTCTGCCACTGCCAGTCACAGCTTATTCCACTATCTCTCTGCAGCGATGGAAGATGTTGCTGTTCTCTAGGTAGCTGACATTTTCTACACAATGGTGGCATTATGACTCTTCCCCTGTTTTCTTCCCACACCCACGTTTACAGGGCCATTCTTTCCTCCAGTGTGATTAAAAGAACCAGTCTTTCTTTGTCACAATATTGAATATTGTTATCAAGTCATCTTGTCTCACAATTACTGCAGCTTTTATCCTCTAACCTCTGCAACCACTGCACTTGGTAATAGTTCATCTGAAGAAGACTGTTGGAACATCTTTTTTCTTTTGATTGTCTTGGAGGTTGAAAACACTTCATCGTGACCTAAAACTTTGATCTTGTATTACAACATAAAAGACACAGGAATGTTTTGAGTGTATCACAAGAGGATTTCTGTGCCATTTGGCATCAGAGTGGCATTAACATCTGTTACAGAGGAAATACTTGTGTTATATGTAGATATTAAGTATTTATCTACTGCTCTGCAAATGGACTCTGGTTCTAAAAAACCAAAAACCTGACTGGAGATCTTCCTAGTTGTTTATTTTTGACTTAGGGAACTGAAACTCCAGAAGTCTCAAATGCTCTTCACATTATATTGTATTCAAAGCAGCTAGCAGGATGGGACAGGCAAGATACTGAATGTCGTGGGCAAACTAATGGAGAGGCTGGTAAAAAGTTCAGTTATTAAAGGCTGAATGTGTTACTCTAGAGGACACTTTATGGAAAGGAGCTTTTTCAAACCAAGGAAAATTTATTTCAGTCTTTGAAGAGCTTACACATCAGACTGATAACGACAACCATGTAGATGCCATCAAAGTCCAAGGGGCATCATGCAGGGCTTCACTGATGTTGGGCTTTCCAAGCCTGCTTTTTGCAGTATTCCGAATTCCCAGGTGCAGTGAATGCAGACGGCCAGCAGCCCGTCCCGGTGGGCAGTCGCAGGGAAGCCCGGCCGCCTGGCACCGTCTCGGTTTTAAGTTTCACCGCTCTCGCTCAGCTGTGCGGGAGTTCTCCGATGGAAAAACTAGCAAGGCCTGAAGGCATCTAGCAGACCGACAAAGAGGCTGCAGAGGCCAGTCAGGCGGTAAACCAGGAGGTTTGGAACTGGAAGAAGTGGAAACATGATCTGCCAGCGGTGGGGTGGGAAGGGGCCGTTTCCCACACAGCCGGCGGAGATAACCCCACGGGGCCCGGAGGAGGGAGAGCGGACCCGTCCCTCCGCGCCTCGGTGAGGGGGACGAGGACAAAGGGGACTGCCAGATCCCCTCCGGCCGCCTTCGCCGGAGGAGGAGCGGCGGGGTAGGCGACAGCAGGGTCCCCCGGCGGCCCCCGCCCCTCACAGCGCGGCCCCCGCGCTGCTCACGGGGCGGGCGGCGCCGGGGCGGGGACCGACCCCGCGGTGCGGGGCGGTGCGGGGCGGCGCGAGGCGCTCCCCGCGGGAACGCTCGGCGGAGCGTCCGTGAGGGGCTGCCGGCATGTCGGCACCGCGCTGCCCGCAGTGCGCCCAGCCCTGCGCGTCGCCGCGGCTGCTGCCCTGCCTGCACTCGCTGTGCGAGCCCTGCCTGCGCCGGCTCGGGCCGCCGGAGGGGCCGCCGGGCGCCGCCCGCCCGGTCCTGTGCCCGGTGTGCGACGCCGAGCTGTCGCTGCCGGCCGGCGGCGTGGGGCAGCTGCCCCCCGACTGCCTGGCTGGGAGCCGCGGCCGGGCCGCGGCCGGGTGCGACCTCTGCGCCGACGGGGCGGCGGCCGGGCGGTGCCTGACCTGCGGCCTCCGCCTCTGCCGCTTCTGCTGCAGGGCGCACAGGTGAGCGGCGGCCCGCGGGGACACCGCGGCTGGGGGCGGCGGGAGGCGCAGCGCGCAGGGACCCGCTCAGGGCGAGCCAGAGCGAGAACTGGCGTGGCTCCTGGTTTGCACCCACCGCTCACCTCCCCTGCGCGGAGGATGCCCGCAGGGATGCTCTGTACTCGGGTGGGGACAAGCAAGCTGCTGGCATAGAATCATGGAATATCTGGAGTTGGAAGGGGCCCACAAGGATCACGGAGTCCAAGTCCTGGCCGAAAACAGCCCCAGGAATCCCATGTGCCTGTGAGTGGTGTCCAAACGCTACTTGGAACTTTCTGGGAATAGGTCCATCAGCCATGTTGTTGGCCACTGAGTCCAAAATCAAGCCACTCGTTGCCTGTAGTGGTGTCCACATGCTGGTTATCATCTCAGTTTAGTGTCACTGGGCAACAGACATGGGTATGGCTAGATACTAGCATGACACGAGCCTCTGATGCTCTTGTACCATCCCACTTTGGAAAAGACACATCTCCCAAAGGAAAAGGGGAACGTTAAGTCTGCTCTGCCTCTCTCCACCTCCAGGACCATTTACTGTGTGTATGTTTCAAGGCACCCTAAGGCAAACTGAAAGTCCTGTGGAAGTGCTGCTAGTGTGGTTGCTACCTGCTGATGATCAACCCCTGTGCTTGCCTGACACATGTTGTAGAATTACTGCAGAAACAAAAGGTGACTGCAGCAGAGTTAGGAGTTAAAGAGGAGTGCAGTGCCTCTAAGCCAGGTAGAGGACAGCACAACAGAAGAAAAGTGATGTAAAGCCTGAATGGCCTTCTGAAGCAAGGAGGTGACAGGCAGGGTCAGAAAAAACACCCAACAGCACAAGCCAGGGAAGCCTCAGCCTGGATTAAGCAATTCAGCCTATTCCCTCCACATTTGGTGCTCCTTTCTGCTTGATTAGCAAATTCTTTCCCCAGAAGGAACTGAGACATATTCCTCCCTGCCCTGCCCCCCTGCAAGTACTGGTGCCTGTGGGAAAATGGTTGAGGCTCTTAGTTACCTTTCCACTCCGGGTGTAATTTTCAGCATACCATTCCGATTAGCTAATGCCTCATACCCCATGGAGCTGCTGAAGAGTGATAAGATACCTTGAATAGCAGCCTGCTGCTCTGCCAGGGATAATTGCAGAAGGGAGAAAGTAACAGAAAATTTGTCCCTGTGACCCACTTCCTATAGTATTTACTGCTATCATTTTTTCACCTCACTGGCATCTACAGATATACTTTAAGTTGATGTCAGAGCAGAACAAGGGCTAAGAAAAACCATTTTGAAAGGATTTCCTGGTATCGCGGGGAGAGTTTCTCTGGTTCTGAGTGCCATGGTTGTGCTCCTTGGAACAAGTGAGAGAGATGTTAGGCTGAAGTCACAGGAAGGCAATACTGGAAGGCTTTGAAAATGTGGTGGGTCTAAGGGAGATTAGTGGGAAGCAAAAGTAGAAGCATAAGAGCCTGTGGTGAGGTTGCTTTGTGTTACCAGTGCAACTCTGCAGAGCTTGCTTGGTCCTTGGAGTATGTCTTTGGTTATGGCTTGGAGCTCCCATTACAACTGCCACCAGTCATTAGTGCAGGAGAAAAGTAAGGAGAGGAGGGTTTTACATCCTTCTCAATAACTAAATCCCAGTGTTCAAAATAGCAGAGAGTGGAAATATTCTAGTGCTGCCCAGTGACATGGTGGATACCTGGGTTGTAACAGGTTATTCTTGTCCCATCCTTGGTCTCTTCTGAGCAGGACCTAACCTGGCAAGCAGAAGGAAGCTGAGTTTGACTTTTGGAATAGTAAATGTTTTACTGTTTGACTGTCTTCTGGCAGTGGCCTGAACAAGATTTCCCCCTAAGGTATATATTAGAGCTCACTTGCCTTGTGTCTGAAATCCGTGCTGACCATGCAGTCAGGGAAGCTCCGGGAGCCAGGGAGCAGCCCCTAATTAGCTCCTCCTTTGTGTGCAGCCTAGTTCTCAGGAGAGCATAAATCCTTTTGGGGAATTTCAATGGAGACAGGAAGGAGCAGTGCACGCTGTGGCTTGCAGCCCGTTGCAAATAGGCGTTTGCAAAGGATCTCAGTTTTTGTATTTTGTAGCCAACATGCATAAAGTGATTGGTGTTTGCTCCTGCCTAGGAGACAGAAGAAAACAGCCTCCCATGCTGTGACAGAGCTGGAGAACACCAAGGATTGCAGCCAGGCCGGGAAGCCTCTCCTGTGCCCCTCCCATCCCACAGAGGAGCTGCAGCTGTTCTGCGAGCAGTGTGACCAGCCCGTGTGCCGGGACTGCGTTCTGGGCAGACACCGTCAGCACCCCTGTGACTTCACCGGCAATGTCATCCACAGGCACGGGGATGCCCTGCGGGAGCTGCTGAAGAACAGCCAGCAGCACATGGACACCCTGGAGGATGTGCTGAGCCAGGTCGATGAGATGGGCAGTGCTGTCCGCAGTCGCGCAGAGGCTGTGGCCACAGAGATCTGCCTGTTTGCCAGGGGCTACGTGAAAGCAATTGAAGAGCACAGGGACCGGCTGCTGAAGCAGCTGGAGGACTTGAAGGTGCAGAAGGAAAACCTGCTGCACTTGCAGAAGGCCCAGCTGCAGCAGCTGCTGCTGGACATGAGGACAGGTGTGGAGTTCACGGAGCACTTGCTGATGAGCGGCTCAGATGTGGAGATCCTCATCACCAAAGGGGTGGTGTCCAGCCGTCTGACAAAGCTCAACAGCGTTGCTTACAGCACCCACCCCAGTGTGGATGACAGGATCCAGTTCTCCCCCCACGAGAGGGCAGGGCAGTGTTGTGGCTATGAAGTTTTTGGGGCCATTCTCAATAAAGTGGTCGATCCAGCCAGATGTACTCTTCATGGGGAAGGTAATGGGGTGCTGTACAGCAGCTGAATGGGAGTGCACCACTCCCTGAAGTCACCCCTCTGCTCTCTGTACCTACATGATGTGCAGCTTCTGGCAGTGTTGGCTCCCTGCTGTCCAGGTGTTGACCAGGGGCAGAGGCAGAGCCCCAGCAGAAGTTGCATTGCCTGCCTATGGGAGCTGTGCTGGGCAGGGAGTCAGGCAGCTTTTCTCATCCAGGTGTGCAGAGCATATGGCACTGCTCTCCACAGCATCACCAGCCTCAGCATGGGGCTAAGGTGCGAGGAGGGCTCACTCAGGGGTGGGAATGGCACCTGCAATAGCAGGATGTGATGATTAGCTGGTGGTCCAAGCTGTTCTGCAGCATGAGCCCAGGCAGATCCCCTTTGTGGCTGATTAAGTTTTTCCCATTACAGCTTCTGCTGAGATTGGTATAGGAATAGCTGGAATACCTTGAGGGTTTTGTGGATATTTGCTCACTAAGGACTTGGAGTCGGGCCAGCAAACAGATAATGTTCAGACCATCCCACAGAGCACAGCTCTGGTCAGTAATGGTCTGTGCAGGGCAAATGAGACACACACAGAGCTTGTTCAATCCCTTCCATGCCAAACTGTAGGTATTGAGTTCTCTGGGGCACAGTGGGTGCTGTTCCTTCTTCCTCTGGATTGCATGGTGCATCTTGAGGCCTTCTGGGAATATGTGCAGCTGGGCTTAGAGTGACAGGCAGAAAGACCCCTGTGGTCTGTACAGATCTCTGGGCTAAACCTGCCAGACATCTCTCAGAACCTATGGCTACCACTCTCTCCTGATACCCAGTCAAATGTTGACTTTTCCCTGTGAGTGAAAGAACCTGTGCACACAGAAGCAAAGTCCTGACTGTGCTCTGATGGGGCTGCAGTTCAGCAAAATAGATGGGAGCTGGAGTTATGGCTTGACTTGAATTCTTTGTAGATTCTGTTGCTTTCTGGTTTGGTGTTTGTTTTTCTTCCCAGATCTCCACAGTGCCCGTCAGAACCAGCTGAGTGGCTTTACCCTGCTGTGCAAGGACACTACAGGGGAGCGCATGGGGCGGGGCGGAGAGGCTGTGCGGGTCACCATCGCCCACAAGGACAAGAGGGACTGGTGGGTATTTCACCCAAGAAATCCCTGGCTTAGCCTTTCTGCCTCCCTTATCCTGGCTTCCTGCTTGCTTAGGTGGGTGAGAGAATGTGCTTCAGCATGTGGGTCAGAATCTGTAGAGGAAAAGGCACTACTCTTTTTCCCACAGTGCTTTCTAGTGGTTGTGTTTGGCTGGACAGTGATTGCTGAGATTTGTATTAAGTCTTTGATTTGGGCTTCTTAAGGGATTCAACTCCTGTGTGTGCTGCTAGGCACAGTCAGAGGGAGGTGTTGTTCCTTGTCACTCCTCCCAGCAGACACCTGGGGCTCCTGCTTTTGTTAATGCTTAATCAGTGTAAGTAATTGCGACCCATTTATGACAGTCACAAGTCAGACAGAGAGTTCACTAACCCTACGAGCCTCTGACAGCTGATGGAAGTGCCTTCTTCATGTTCTGGAGAAAGAATCTGTGTTGTGCTTTCGTCCTTTTTCCTGTAGTTGCAAGCACTGAGTACTTTAAAATGTTTGAAGGTTTTCTAGCAAAACCAGAAAAGGCTGCACTTGAGCTCCTCAGTGTTTCCACAAGGAAAATAGCCAACCAGAAAAAAATTATAAACCAAACCACACTTGTCATTAAAGAGTAGCCAGGCACAAAAACAGACCCAGTTGGGGATTAGTTCTTAAGAAAAATATCTGTTGTTTTATAGTAGCTGGAACCAGATGCCAGCATTAATTTGTTCCAGGAACACTTATGATGGGATGACCTGATGAAAAAAGGGACAGGATGCTAAAACCCTTTGCTGTGTTGGCAAAGCACACAGAAGCAGTGCTGGCTGCACTGATGCTTATCAATAGAGCATCATTATCCAAGAATATTGTTCCAATTTACTTTCCTTCCATAAGTGCACATATAATGTAGGAAGGTGCATGCCTGAAGGGTTTTTGAATTTCTCTTGGTGGGGTAGAGGTCGCTGTGGCCATGCTAACTCAGTTTCTTGCTCTTGCATGTATGCAGTTGGTACATGGATTGCTGAAAGCTGTCTGGCTTTGCTTTGAGGCACAACAGCTGCAGAAGAGCACCTGCAGAAGTATCACCACGCAGTTCGTGGCAGGAAATTACGTAGGCAGCTGTATTGATGTGAAGTGTTGGGGGTGGGTAATACAGATTATAAACTGTCATGTTTATAGGAGACTAATTAGTGGGGATTAGCAAGAACACCTTCTATGCAGAGCTACCTGATAATTGTCTGTGAAAAGCTTTCCATTTTCCTGTGGAGCAGGCAATTTATCCTAGACTAACCAGCTGAGGCTTTCTCTCTAGCACTCTGTTCACCAGGATTCCCTGTGAAACACAAAGATCTTCACTGCGAAAAGGGAGAGTTTACCACCAGGGACCTAGAACACCTCAGCACTGAAGGAAAAAGTTGGGGTCCGTGCAGCTGGGACAGTGGTTAAAGTGATTCAAGCCGACCCTATTATAGCTTGTCTTCTTAATGGGTTTTTCTGGAGGTAACTGCTTGCTGAAGCTGTGAATTTACTCCCTTTCTGTGGGCTCTTATCTGATGGGATAATCTGACTTGTGTGCTGTGTGTCATCTGCCTTTTCTGTGTGCAGGTTGCTACAAATCCTTGCAGTGCAACTGGCTTTGTGTGACTTCCTTTGTATGGTAATTGCAGCTTCCAGTAGCAGGGGTGTGTGAAAACCACTCTAAGCCAATCTAGGCCAAACTCTGGTTTACATTTAACGCAATTTTTTGCCAGTTACTGACCTCTTGGGTTTCTCTCCACTGTTCACAGTGCAGTCAAGCCAACAGTGTGTGATAATGGTGATGGGACCTACTGTATTTCCTACAACCCTGAAGAGCCAGGCTTGTATGCTGTCTGCGTCTATGTGAAAGGGCAACATGTGCAGGTAGCATTTCTTGTTCCTCTTGCACTGCTTCTTCTTTACCTACTTTTCTTTTCTTAGGTATTTGTTTCAAATCTGTCTAAGGATTACTTCTACCATAGCAGTTTAAGGCTGTGTTTAGTGATCTGTGACTGACAGGGTCACCCAGATGGTGTCTGAGAATGCAGACAGGTCTGACAGCACCCCCTTCAGCAGCCTCTCTGTTTGCTTGTCCTCTGCAGGGCTCTCCCTTCACTCTGATGGTGAAGCACAAGTTCCGTGAGCACCAGGGGGTGTTTCACTGCTGCACGTTCTGCTCCAGCGGAGGCCAGAAAGCCGCTCGCTGTGCCTGTGGTGGGACCATGCCAGGTGGGTGCTCAGCTCTCCCCATGCTGCTGGAATCAGGAGCATTTGTTGCACTAGGTCCTCCCTAGTGGATAGAGGCGTGAGGAAATACTCTCACCCAACTCACCTTGGACATGCACCAGGAATGTGGTGAACTGTGCATACACGTGTTCTGATGGGGTGACTGCAGCAGGGAGAAATGCAACAGGACACACAAAGAGGCTGTAGGGCACATCCCATAGACAGAGACCTGAGCCAGGTGTGCAGGAAGTGGAGCAGGGCACCTCAGCCTTTCAGCCCTTCTGAGTGAGGCTGAGCAGCAATGCACCTACAGTGTTCCTGTTCCAGTGCTGGCATGTTGGGAGCTTGTGGGCTGTGTCACACAGTGACCAACTCTAGAGAAGTCTCGCTCCATGTTTAGGACAAGAGATCAACTCTCTTACTTGTTTAATCCCAACATCTTCCTGTCCTTCACCTGCATGTGTCATCATGTTTTTTGTGTGTTTTTATAATAGAACTGACCTCTTCCTTTTTCTGTGCTTGATCTATATCTTTGGCCATAGACACAAGCAGCTGGCATGGGGTTCTGGATGCCCATGTATTGATTTATTCAACAGGCAAGGGGACGGAAATCATCAGCTTTCACCAGCTATTGAGATGAGTTGTTCTTTATGGAGCCCTAGCAATTTTGGCTTTGAATAGGCTGTTCTCATCAGCACACTTTAGAGAAGTCCTGGGACCAAAGCCTGTAGCACACTGGGATTTTCTGACCCTCTTTGGTTGACCTGCTAGTGCCTCTTCTCTTGCAGGTGGGTACCAAGGCTGTGGCCATGGACACAAAGGTCACCCTGGCTGCCACCACTGGTCATGCTGTGGACAAGTGAAGGAGAGCTCAGAGTGTTTGTGTGGGCCACCCAGCGACACCTCACAGAGGAGTTTGCTCAGGACAGTGGCACTCTGAGCAACCAGGTGAGCTCCTGGGAGTCCAGGGCACTGCTGCTGGCTGCTCCAGGAGCACAAACGATCCATGAGGATCCATATGATCAATCCCTGCTCAGCCTTGGTGCCAGCAAACAACGTGACGGGTGTGAGCTGGTAGAGAGGGGATGAGGGAAAATAAAAACCGTGCCTTATGTTCCACCCAGGGGTGTGTATGCAGAGTTATTTTGTGCTCAAACAGAAGCAAATTCTGGGAATTGTACTGCTGCCTACACTTCTGAGGACTTGGGGCCTGTGGGGACATGCTCTAAGGGGAAACTCAATCTGAGCAGTTACCTCATGGGAGGGTCAAGAGATGTCCTATTCTGCAGGGTCAACAGCTTCTGCTGTCCTTCTTGATGAGGTTAAAACTACTCATTGGGGCCCATTCCAAAGGGTTTGTGATCATGCCTAGGAAAGGCTTGGCAACCTGAATATGGCTTCTGCCTCCCTGTTGGATATGGATCTGGGTTCCAGGCTTAGATGTGTGGATATGGCACAGTCATGCTTCTGGGAGCTGCTCTTTTACACTTCCTCAAGGTAAACTGTAGTCTCATTATACCCTGCTTGCAAAGTAGGGGCAAGGAGAGTTAGTAATGTATCTGCAGGAGGGCCCAGAAAACCTCCTGGCACTGATAGGAACAGGAATTGGAGTATCATTCACCTGGTCTTTTTGTCCTTCATGGAGATGATGTGGGGCACAGTGCTGCTGGGGGTGATGGGGGAACCAGGGCAGTGCCCAGCTCACCAAAGGAAGATCTGGAGGCAGATTGAGCATCAGTAGGAGTCACAGACACAGGTTTGCAATTGTCTGTCCAGAACTGGAGCACGGGAGATGGAACACAGCAAAACTCCTGGATTTGGCTTGTGCAACCTTGGCAAGGCATTTACCAGCCCATAACTGGGGAAATGGCATCTGTGATGAGGAAGAAGAGGCACTCTCTGGAAGGGCAGTTGTCACCCTGCTGCCTTCTGCTTGCCTGGATGAAGCAGACACCCTGAACACCTTCCTCTACAAAACACATTTCTGTCATTGAGGCTGGGAACACCACTGGCTTGAGGGTAACCTTGTCAGAAGGTGTGTATGGCTAGGGGCTCCTAATAATGCCTGAGGAGCTGGGCACAAAGGTCCCACTGTTGGTCACACAGGGAGAGGAATGCTGCTCCACTGTCAACAGCAAGGACATCAGGAACCTGGACTGGCCAGTTTTCTTTCCCAGGGAGAAGGGACAGTGCTTGTGCCCAGGGCCCCGTGTCCCTGAGCCAGCGGCTGACTGCAAAAAATCCAACCATCGAAGGATATGTCCCAGATGCCAGCTACCCCCACCTCCAACTTGTGCTGCCCTGACAGTCCCAAGGGAGCCCTACAAACTGACATCAAGAACCTGGACTGGCAACTTTTATTTCACAAGCTAAATATCCGCCATTCATGACCACGGCCCTGAACCCACCCTGGGTTGTCAGGTCCCGGGTTTCCTTTTGCCTCCTCAATGTCAAAATGGCGCAGGATTTCTCCGAGTCCAAATCTCCCATCCCTAAGTACTCTGGGTTTTTTTTTTCATGCTGAATACCTGTTGCAAACTGACAGTACAGAGCTTGGGGCTTGATTTTTTCTGTCTGGATTTGTCCTCGAGAAAGCTGCCACCATATAACCCTAACCATAACCACTTCGCTTTGCTCAGAAATCACAGCCTTCAGACCAGCAGCATGGGATCTGACCCACTGGCCCTCCACTGGCACCTTCCCAAAGCATTCCACTGCATTCCTGTAGCACTCCACATTTTCAGTGGGCATCCTGTCTGACCCTCATCCTGACCCTAAAAATGCACCAAGGAATTCTAAAATAGCCATTAGGAAGATGTAACAATACTCTGAAGGACACCAGAAAAGTCCTAAAAAGCCTTCAGAAATCCCCTAAATATTCCCAGTGGTCCTGCAAAAAAAAAAAAAACTCAAGGAAGCCTGCTCAGCCTTCGAACCCTTCCTGTTGCTCTCTAGCCCACAGATATCATCCCTACCTTTTTGCAGTGGGTCCTGTTGTCCTCTGAAGGTTCTGGCATTGTCCTGGTGCGAGGGTCACTGCCCTGTCCCAGCGGGAGGGTTCTGGTGTGGTCTCGCTGTTAGGCTTGCTGTGTTGTGCTGCTTTTGTTGGGGGTGAAAAGGGAAAAGGCTGCTTAGGGTGAGGTTAGGGTTGGGGTGAGGGATGATGCACCTGTACCCTAACTTGCCTCCTAAACTGTACCCTTTAGCCCTGATCTCCACTGGACTATCCAGCCCTCAAGCTCTCTCCCCCTACCCTTCAACCCCTCCCTCTGCCCCCCAGACCTCAGGCTCTGGGTATCCCCCTTGAGCCCCCCTTTGCCCCTCAAGCCCCCTCTCAGCTGCCCCTCAGCTCCTGTGTGCCACCCTTAATCCCTCTCCTTTGCCCCTCAGCCCCCAGATTCTCTGTGTCACCCTCCAGCTGCCTCTGACCCCCAGCATCTCCCTGTGTCACCCACTGCCCCCTCCCCCTGTTCCTCCCTCAGCTCCCAGCCTCTGTCACCCTCAAGCCCCCACAGTGCCCCTCAAGCTGCCCCTCAGCTTCTATGCCATGAAAAGACCCTAAAAAACCATAAAAATGCCCCGCAAAACCCTCATCTTCAAAATGTCTTAAAACCCCCACAAAAACATTAAAATAGCCTCAGAATACCCTTAAAATACAATAAAAATACCCTACTTTAAAAAACCCCTAAAACACCCCTAAAAATCCCCAAAGAACCTTTAAAAAAAATCCCTAAATATTCCTAGAAGAGCTCTAAAAATAGCCCCCAAATCCTTAAAACACACTGATAAGACCCTAAAATCCATAAAACTTCCCTCAAAAAAAACTAAAAATACCCGAGTTCTAAGAGTCCTCCACCTACCCCCAATAGTCTTTAAAAAAGCCCTAAAATTTTTTAAATAGTCCTAAAAAAGCCCCAAGAACACTCCCCCCCCAAAAACCCCTTAAAATTCTAATTAGTACTAAGAAAGTCCTTAAAATACCTTAAAAAAAATATTTTAAAAGCCCTAAAAGTATCCTAAACATCCCCAGAAAGTTCCTAAAAAGCTCCTGTGAGAAAACCCCTCAAATAGCCTTTAAAACCACTAAAAAAAAGCCCTAAAAAAAGCACTCAGTCCCCAGGAGTCTACCAGTCCCTCTCTAGCCAGCAAACGTCATCCATACCTTTTAATTAAAGTCACTGCCTGCAGCTGCTGGGAGTGTTCTGGGGCTGTCCCAGCATTAGGGTCACTGCCTGCAGCTGCTATTGGGGAAAACTGGTGTTCTAGGGGTGCTGTTTGGGGTGAGGGCTGCTGCTGTACCCTAAGCCTTCCTGGTACCCTGTGTCCTGTCCTTTGCACCCCTAACCCTCAGTGTCAGCTCTCCACCTGTCAAGTCCCTCCTCTTTGCCCCTCAGCCCGCAATGTCACCCCAAGCCCCCGACACTGTCCCTTGGCCCCCTAACCTCCACCGTGCACTCCCCACCCGGGGAGGGGTGGTATTTAGGGTGAGGTTAAGGGTGGTGTGACAGCTGGTTCACCTGTCACCCTCAGGTACCCCCCACTTTGTCCCTCAAGGCACCCCCTGCCTCTCAGCCTCCTTCTGTCACCCTCCATTCCCCCACCGCAGCCTCTCAGCGTCTCTGTGCCCCCCTTTTTACTCCTACAGACCCCTTCTGCCTCTCAGCTGCCACCACTATCTGTGCCACCCTCCAGCCCCCTCCCCTCAGCCCCAGGTCCCTTTGTGACAACGTGCAGCCCACAGATATCGTCCCTGCCTGTTTTATTCCGGTGTTGTCCTGCTGCCAGGGCTGCACTACCCCACAAGTTTGGGCTCCCATGTGGTGCTGCAGGGAGCCACAGGTGGGCGGTGGGGAGAGTGAGGGATGGGGCAGGGGCAGGATGGGGAGGGGTGAAGGGTGGAGAGAGAGTGGGACAGGGGGGCTGGAAGTACAGATAGGGGTGAGGGGGGGAAAGAGGGACAGAGAAGAACAGGGGTGAGGGTAGGAGGGGGCACCACATATCTGACAGACAAAAGCTGCATCAGGATAACATTCTGGTTGCCGAGGCAATGCTAAACACCTGCTGCAAACCTACATCAGGAACCTGGACTGGCGAGTTTTCTTTCCCATGGAAAAGGGTCAGAGTTTATGCTCAGGGCCTTGTGGCCCTGAGCGGGCGGCTGACTGCAAAAAATCCAACCATCAAAGGATGTGTCCCAGACCGGAGCTGCCCCCTCCTCAAACTTGCGCTGCCCTGACAGTCCCAGGGGAGCCCTACAAATTGACATCAGGAACCTGGACTGGTGAGTCTTCTTTCTCAGGGAAAAGAGCTGGAGTTTGTGCTCAGGGCCCCTGGCCCTGAGCGTTAATGTCTATTTTGTCCCAGAAGATCTCCGGAGCAGAGCAGGTTCTGGCTCAGATGGGCTTCTTTTTCCCACAGCAGAGGGTGGTTCACAGGGGTACACCACCTGATGGGAATGCCATGTCAGGACAGATCCACATGCAGTGTGGAGGATTTTGTGTGTTTGCAGTCCAGGGTGGCTCAGCACCTTCCTCTTGAGAGGTGAGGGCTTGTTCTGAGTGCTGCTGCTTTCAGCTTCCCTTCGCAGGCAGGTGAGGCTGAGGACAGATAATGCCAGTAAGGCAGTGCCAAGTTCTCCTTCCAGATTGCTTGTTGTTCTCATTTGTGGTGCTTCTCAAACAACTCTTGACATCATTGTTACAGATGTGGGATTGTAAGGCTGGAAAGATGTCCTACATTTTGGGTAAAACCTCAAGAAAAGCTTTCATCCCTTTCAGCTTACTGGCTGCCTACACCTCTGTGGAATGCTCTGTCAAATTTGGCTGCTGGTCAACTTGCCACAACTCCATCTTCTCCTTCACTGGGAGCTCCTGCAGCATTCCAGTGACACTGAAATAAGGTGTGAGCTTCCCATAAGCAGGGGAACTTTTCTGTAGGGTACCACCAGCTGCTGGGCCCAGAAAAGCTGGTAACACTTTGTGTCTGCTGTTGCCTTCTCCTCAGTGAAGGCAGCTGATGTATCCCAGGTGTTCATCAGCTCTCACAGACCGTATGGGACCAGATTCTGCTGTCACATTGGGTTGGATTTGCTAATAAATTCAAGATTGGTAAGAGCTGGGCAGATCGTGTGGTCACAGACCCTTGGTTTCTTTGGGAAGTAGCCTGAACACCTCTCGGGGTTTTTTTTGCAGTGTGAGGATAGAGACAGGAGTAGGCTCCAGCATGAGCTGCTCAGAAATGAATGTGGTTTTGCCCTGGGGAATAGGACTTGCCCTGGTCCTGCTGGGGCTTCCTGTGCTGGAGAAGCAGACATGTTTTTCCAATGTGGAAATAACCTGACTGTTGACTGTGCAATGGGTTGTGCTGTGGCTGACCTGGAGTTAACTGGAGCGGAAAGGGGGCACCTTGTCTGCCCACTGCACACACAGCTGTAAATCAGGTGTCACCACAGCCATGAATCAAGTGTCACCGAGGGCAATAGGACATTTCTTAATGTGCATTGCCCACCTGGCCACTGTGGCCTAGAGCTATTCTTAGCTTCTTGTACTGTACTGCTAAATTATGAGAGGCAGAATGCTGACAAATAATGATGGGGTTTTTCTGATTATCACCACTGACCAGTCTTAATTGGTCTTGATTTTAATCTCTGGTTTTTGCAGAGAAAGTACTTTGGGTTTTTTAGGTGCTGGACTGTTCCCAGTTCCTCTGGGCATCCTCAGCTCTGCATGGGAAAGCTGTTCACTCCCACTAACCATCCCAACTTGCTGGAGATAGCTACAGACTGTCAAAAATCCCCTTTTCCCCATCCTCCCTGGAACATAGTCCAGATGTAGATGTCAGGATAAGCAGGTTCCCTTTCGGGAAACTGAACACGGTGGTGAAAGCTGCCTTCCCTTTTCTACTCTTTCACAACGTCTCTGCCCTTCTCAACCTGTTATGCCCAAGAGCTGCTCATCCTGCCCCCAGCCTCATCTGAGACCAAGCCCAGAGGGAAAGACCTGCAAGGCCTTGCAGGAGCCAGTTTCTTTCCTTTGCATGCTCCAAAGTGCGCCACCCTGACAGACCTAAGAGCAGCAGGAGCTTGCCTCAGGGGAGGGTGACAGGTGGTTTGGCCTGAAGGAGTTAAGTGGGATTAAACAGCAGTGAGAAAAGGGGCTGCTGCCAAACCTGTGTGGCTCTGAGAGCACTGCTGAGATCATAGGAGCCTCTTAGCACAGCACAGAGAGGCAGGGGAGACTCACAGTGCAAATGGGGCCAGGAGGAGGACACACAGGTGGGACCTCTCTGCCCAGTGCCAAGAAAGTGGTTGGAGATTTTTGCAGGGAGACCTGAGCTAGTCCTGGTTTTGACACAGCCCCTCAGTGATGGGTAAGCTGCTGTTCTCCTGGGACACTTATGCACTTGAACTCCAGGATTAGCTGGCTACCAACCACAATATTTTGTAATGCTTTGTAAAATGTAATATTTTTTGTCTTAAATAAGACATGTTTCTTAAATGGATGTGTAGGAGGTCTCTCCTGTTGCCCCAGTGTCTAACCAGGTCTCCCTGCTTATGACTGACCTGGGGGAAGGGAGGTGGGGGGAGTTGAGATGCTCAGAATTTCCTCATTCCTGAGAATTTGTGCTTGGGCTCACCACTCCTTAGCTGCATTCAGTTATTTAAGCAGGACAGCTTGGGAGGATATATAATCCAACAGACAGGGGCTGTGCTGAACAGTGTGGGACCTTCAGGCAGCTGGTGTTTGACTTGTCTCCATAGATGCTGTGACCATGGCATCCCAAGGCCAGGTCATTTTCTGGAGGTATGGTACTATCTGCACTTGCCTTGGCAGAGGGGAGGGAGGGAACTGCATTTTTCAGACTCTTAGGATATGTCACCCTGCTTCCAGGAGCTCTCAAGAGAACAGTTCTTTGCAGCTTGACCGTACTGCACTCACTCAAGCTACTTAAATACCAGTACAGCTTGTTTTATACAATTTGTAAGGCCATGTATGTATCAGACACCCATGTGCAGTCATCAGCTGTAGTCAAGATGAAGATGCATGTCTTACAACTCTGCATTTGCTAGAAGTTGCTATCCCAGGGTTGAATGCTGTGGTAGATTGGGGTAGCGATGCTTGAGGAAGAGTGTATTCCTGCTGTTGTATTTTGGGGTTCAGTGCCTTGAGGAAGGCACCCCTCTTCTCTTGGTGCTCAGACAGTTGCCTGTGTTTCCATCACATCAGCTTGCTGTGGGGAGAAAGAAACTGTCCTCCAGAAGTTTGTGTGCAGGAGTAACAGCTGGGAGGACATTCTCAAAGTGTTTTCTGCCTCTCATTTCAATTACCCCATTTCCTTTGGAGCTATTGACTGAGTGCTGGTGAACTACAGTTGGAAAAAGAAGTCATGAAAATATCTACCTCGTATCCTTATCTCCTGATTAGTTGAAAATTACCCCCACCAGATGGACAAAAGGGCAAATTTTTTGTCCTTTAGTGAATGTGGACTGAGCTTTCATCTAAACCTTACTGCTTGAACAGAGACAGCCACAAGCTTGTCTTTCCATCCCAGGTGTGGACTTTCCAGACTGGATGGTGACAAAGGTTCCAGTGGTGTGTAAGACAATCCTGCTGACATTTATTCTGTGAAAAAGATTTCAGCTGTTACCCACTGGAGTGGAAGAGCAGTGGGGAGAAGGACGGGCCACCTATGAACAGAAGAGACCTCATACATGAGCCCTGCCACATGGAGCTTCGAGGAAGAGATAAACAGCAATATTATCTGCACCTTCTCACTGACAGAAGAGAGGTTGCCTGTAGACACAATGTCAGAGTGTAAATATTCCCTGGACACTGTATTCCTCATGCTCTGGAATGCACACAATAATCAGCTCTGTTATTCTCAAGAGGCAGCCCAGCCAGCCTTTGTCAAGGTCATGAAATAACTGGTGAGTGTGAAAAAATGCTCTGAAAACCTTCCTCCTGCTCTGCCAGTGCCTCTGCCTGCCCTGCCAGGCAGCAGCAGTTTACTGGGAGAAGCAGGCTTCCTTCAGGGGCATTTGCTCTTCAGGCTAATCCTGAAATGCAGGAACAGACCAGAGAGAGAGGTGAATTTTCCTGAAAGTTTCAGAGAAGCAGTGGGAGATTTCTGCTGATTCCAGGAAAAAAACAAAACCAACCAAGGAAACAAAACTAAAACAAAAAATCCCCAACAAAATCAACAACAACAAAACCCCCTGAAGTGCTGAAGAAAGTTGGCTTCTGCAATCATCAGCTGCATATTGAAATAGAAACCCTTTTGTTTTGGGTTACCACTGTCATTTCTTTCCCACAATAAACTTTGCTATAAAAAGGAAGGCAAAGGACCCTCAATATGCTAATCTCCCAGTTCTTTTGACCCTCTAAGCCCATTCCTGAGGGAAAGCTTAGCCCAAGTGGAGCTAGAGGTCTGGAGAATTAGGACTGTTTCCTATCACAGCCAGGCTGTGAGCCTCTCCCTGTCCCCGGGCTGTGATCAGAAGCATTCAGGCAGGGAATGACTGGATTAATTTAATGCCAGATTTGATTCCGGTTTGATTCCAAGTTTGGCTGATGAGGAACAAGACTATGGAAAGTAGGGTAGGAGGCACAGAGCAGCATCCCACAGGCTGCCAAATAGGCACTGGGAACTGAGGGTGGTGTCAGGGCTCCAACTGGTGCAGCCTCAGCCACCTGTATCAGTCTGTTTCTATGCCTTTAAAACACTGGAGGTACCAGGGATGCTGATGCACAGAAAATTGCTTTTTGCTTGAAGTGCTTGAACTGGACTGCTGCAAGACACAGCTACCAGCACACGTAGCTAGGATGCCATGTTCCTCTCGTTCACTCTGCACACCAGATCTACTCGTTAGACACGGTGGGCACACAGCAAATGTTTGTAAGGATCTTGTGATTCCTGGACCTTGCAGTTTCTGCAGAGGAAACTCCAAAGGGACTAATTTCTCCTTGTTCCTCACAAGGGATGTTGAAGTGGGCAGTGGCATCTGTATAGCCAAAATTGCCATTCCTCCTGTGACAGATGAGCAGTTTTTTCAATCAGCCCTGCTGGTGCTCTGGAGCAGGGTGGGTAGCCACTCTCTGGGTGCAAAGCCAGCAATACTTTGCAGCCATGGGGTCTGGTGGCACCTGCACAGAACAAAAGCATTGGTGTGGCTTGTTTGTGCTTATTTTTGTTTGTTTGTGAGTAAGCTGAGGATGGTTTTGGACAGATGAGTCCTTTCAAGGAGGGTCCTTTGCCAGAGGGTCCTTTCAAGGACCAGAGGCAAGTGTGGTGGCACTTGAAGCATTCAGGGACTGCACAGGAGGACATCCTGACTGCTTGTCCCACTGCCATACCTCCTAGCATGTATTGTAACTCTCTGGCAGCATTCCTTGACTCTGAGCAATTTCTTCCCTGCCTGTCCTTGGGAAGAGGGGTTGTAAGATATGGGGATAAAGATGAGTCACAACTGTTGTGTGTCAGCACAGTGTGGCTGCTGCTTGCTTTGTGCTTCCCAGGTGTGAGAGCTGAGGCTTGCCATGACAACGTTGGCTGAGTTTATAGCAGCTATCTCACTCTGGGATCAACTCCCAGAGTGAAAATTGGTAGAGCTCCTCAAGAAGATGGATGTTATTCAGTGTACATGAAAGACTTGGCATCTTCCCCAGAACAGGAAAGCACAGCCTGTCCCACGGTGAGCCTGGCTGGGACCTTAAGTGACTCGGGATTGAGCCCCATGGGACCTGGCAAGGCTCTGCTGAAAGCTGTCATGCTGCAGGACCACAGGAGCCATCAAAGTGCCTATCCCACAGGCCCCTGGGAGAAGCAATGCCTGGGTTCCCTGGTGCCTATGGCTGGATGATATCCATGGCTTTTCTCCTGGTAGGGTCAGCTGTGATCCACCATGAGGAATTAGGTGGGGAACTGCTGTTCATCCCTGCCATGACTGAAAGCTTGTGACAACAGGGAAGAAGCCAAATGTGACATCTCCCGTCTCTCAGGGCATCTAGGTAGAGCTTGGTATGGATGTGAATGTGTAAATGGATTTATGTGAACCCTTATCTGAGGGCACAACATATTTTGGTGAGAGTTCTGATCCCTTCTGAGCATGTGCAAACAGGGCTTCCTCAGACAACTTCCCACTGGCTTTAAGGATGAGGATGCAAGGGAGACGAGGATGCAGGGAGGTCAAACAAGCCTGCAACATCTCCCTTTTTCTCTACTCTTTCTTTCAACCCACCTTCGCTTTCTCTCTTCCCTGCTGTTCCCTGCAGGAGGTTTGTTCACATGGTACGATTCTCTGGAGTTCCATATCAGCTGTGTGACCGCGGCATCTCTGGAAATTGAGCAGGTCACAGATACAGGCACACATCAGCGGTGGGAGGAGTCCATGGTTGTGGGGACACTGATGGACTGTCCTGCAGGAGGCCGCCCATCAGCTTTGTGTTGGCAAAGTGTGCTGCAAACCAGTAAATGCTGCTGAAGCAGAGCAGCTGGTCTTTGTGGGCAGAAGGGCTGTGACCTCTCACAGCCTGCCCTCTCTGAGCTTCTCCTCTGTGTGGAGTCTCTGTGAGACTGCTGGGCACGAGCCCTGGGATGTATCTGAAGGTTTTGTGGGGAGATGCTTCAGGGCTTGCTCTGGTTGGGAGCTGAATTTGCAGCCACAGCCCCTGAGTCCGCAGGAAAATGTGCCCATGACCACAGGACAGCTCCACTGGCTGTGCTGGAGTCCATAGCCAGCTGTGCTTCTGGGTCTGTCCAAGCTGGGCTGTGCCAGAGAGGCTGGGCTTGGCAAGGCTGGAGCTGTGCTGATCCATGGCATGCTGCCTTTCTTCTCCTCTGGCATGGCTGCTTCTCCTGTGTGGCTTGGCAAGTGGTCCTCTCCTCTTCAGTCTCTCATTCAACAGCTCATTACCCATCCCCACATGGAGCATCCCAAATCCAACCAGCTCAAAAAAATGGCCCTGTTTCCAGACCCCTCCTGCACATTCCCTGCCTTGTACCTGGTGTCTCCTGGGCTCAGGGGCTTTGCTCACTCCCTGGTCACTCACAAGCGCCAGCAGGGACTGCCTGACATGCACCAGGGAATGCAGAGAGAAGCATCCTGCACTAGGCCCAGCTGCCTGCTCTCAAAAGCAAAGCCTGGGTCTCCTGCCACATGGTCCCCCACTGCTGGTGACAAGGGCTGCTCACCTGAATGTTCATCACTACTGTGGTCATGTGCTTCATCCATGCCTCATTCTGGGTCTGTGTCTCACCTGCTTCCACTTCCTGCAGACAGCTCTGCAGGTGGAGGGTACGGGCATGGGCTGTGAAGGAGGTGGGCTCTGCACTAATGCTGTCCTTTCCTTTTTCCCCAATAACATGACTACAGTCATTGTCATCCTGGCTGCAGTGACCATCCTGATCATTGGTTTTGGTGTCTCAGGTATGTGACAGCTCGGATTTCTTGCAGTTACTGGTAGGATAATGAACTTCTGCCCTGCCTCTACCTCTGTGTGTCCATCCCGTGCACAGACTGAGGTGTGATCATGTGTGGAAGTGCCACCCACCACCCTTTAACAAAGCCTAGGTAGGTGTAGTGCAGCCCGTGCTGCTGGAGGTGTAGTGATGTGTCAGCTGAAATTTCCTTGGGCTTGGTGCCCCAAACCTACACATAAAGTCCTGCTCATACTCTGCTCCTTCTCCCAGACAGGACGAGATGATGGGATGGTGTTTATTGTGAAATTAGAGAGCATCTGCCAGGATGGGGCACCCTTCCCACGTCCCTCAGAGAAAACAAAAATGTGTTGCTTTGGTGTTGGCCAACATGCCACTTCCTTGGAATGTGCTGAGTGAGGATGGGTAGGGAAGGGCTGCATGGGGAAGAGAGCCTGGCTCTGGGAATTCTCAGGCTCGCAGCTTCCCTGGAGCTGAGGGATGTGCAGCTCTCTGATGCTGGCACCTACCAGTGCTCTGTCACCACAGCCAGAGGGAGTGGACCAGCAGTGCTGCAGTACAGGACAGGAGGTGAGGGCTATAAGGAGCAAAATCCTGCTGCAAAACACATGCTAGTGGGGCTTGGTTGAACCCACCTGTGCTTATGATGCTGCTACACCCCTGAGTAGGATATATTTCTGGCTTTGACAGGGATATTTATGGCTTTAACCCCTCTTTTGACATCCCTTTTCCAGAAAAGGTTATAATCTTGACAACATGGTAGCTTTTTCTCTCTAGAATTAGGATATGTCTCCAGCCAGAAGTGCTGCATAATAAAAATGGCAGTGTATTTAATATATTTTTCCCAGTTTTTCTGAAGTATTCAGTTTTTAAAAATTACTACCAAAGCAACAAACCTCTGATATCATAGTTACCTGAAACATTACATATTTACAAGAGTCAGTCCTCCAGGAGAGATCTGAAAACCATCAGGTCTTCAGCCTCTTCCAGTGAGATGCATTTAGCTGTAATAAGAAGTCTCCTCCTAAGCAGGCACCTCATGTTGAGACTGATGGATGAACCCCTTGAGGGTCTCCTCCAGGGTGCAGTCTTCGCACCCTCCCTCTCATCTCTGTTGCCAAAATTGCTGTCCTACAGCTCAAATTGGGTGAGGAAAAGCCCTCAGACCTCTCCAAGTGAAAGAGGGTTTTGGCTCAAGCCTGAGGGTTGCAAATGTTCCACGAGGACTTTGTCCCCTATCACTCCTTGAAACCTTGTGGCTCTGCCTACTTTTGTGTTGTTTGATTGGATGTTTAGAGTAATCCACACAGAAAAGGCATTAGAAAGTACTTGTGAAATGCTTAAGGTGTTTTATTTTCAACACAGCTCTGATACCTGCTCTGTGTGGAAAGACAGACATATTCCTTTTAGCTGATTTACTTTAGCTCATCCTTACATCAGTTCACTTCTAGGTCCTACCACCCATAGCCAAAGCTGGAATGGAATGGAATACTAAAGGTAGCTGTCCTGTGCTTTGGCTGTGTAAGGCCTCCTTATTCCAGGTCTGCAGGAGATTGCTCAGGAGAGAAAATGGCCTCAAGTTGCACTAGGGGAAGTTTAGATTTAATATTAAGAAAAATTTGCTCATGGAAAGGGTTATCAAGCCCTGCAACAGGCTGCCCAGGGAAGTAATGGAGTCACCTACTATCCCTAGAGATTTAAAATACATGCATTTATGGTTATGGTATAGTGGTGGACTTAATGCTAGGTTAACAGTTGGACTTGATCTTAGAGGTCTCTTCCAACCTTAATGATTCTGCAAGTCTGGAAAGCTGTAGGTGCTGGTTAGCCCCCCTTCTTAGTGAGTGGAGAGGGTAAATCATCTTTCCCCCATTATTAAGAATAGCTAAAAGACACTAAAGCTGTGTCATGACCTCAGCAGATCCTGTCAAGCTGGACTGCTATTTCCTAGGAATCCTTAGATCCTTTGTAGTGATACTCCCACAGCCCAGCCTGTACAGAGCTCTGTCTGAGCCTGGTTTTGACTTGGCTCCAGGCAGTGCTGTGCTGCTAAGCAGCAAGCAGCCTAGAAGTACCTGTGATTGGTAGATAAAATTGGGTATTTCATGTCCAGTTCCTATCACTTGCCTTGTTTTGGCTCTCTCTCCGTTTTCCCTCCCACAGCCTTCAGCATCCCCGTGGTGCAGGTGGAGAACAGCAGCCGTGGGGACGCTGCAGTGCGAAGCCCCACGCTGGTTCCCTCGCCCTGCCACGCGCTGGACAGCCTACGGTGACACTGGGGAGCACCTGCCCCATGCTGCCAACACCAGCTACGAGCTGAACCCCAAAAACATCACTGTGAAGGTGGTTTCCCTCCAGCACAACATCACTGCCAATGCCACCTACACCGGCGTGGTTGAAAGCAGCATTGCCAAGGCTATGGTCCATATCAGAGTGACAGGTAGGGCTCAGCAGCACCCCGAGACCATAGGCACGGGGGAGAGTTTCAGTAGTGTTCCTGGTGCACCAGGGGGTTCCTGCAGCAGCTGTGTCAGGCAAGGAAAGGACTGAAAGCATGGCTAATCCAACCACTTCTCTGTCCCTGGGATGAATGAAAGGGTCTGTGTTTGCTCCTGCTATCTCATATGCTTCTCATGGTATTGACTGTCGCCTTGGCTTGGGGACAGGGGACCAGAAAGAGAGACACACTTCAGAGGAGTGTATTGCTTGGAATGTTAACCGAAACCAAACCAGCCAACCAAGCCCCACATCTTTGGACACTTTTTTTCAGCCAGTTCATCTTAGATCCCATTTGTGTACCAAACCAACAGGCCCCTTTAGCGGTTATTGATGACAATACCTCTGACTCCAGCCCAATCCTTTTATTTAAAAGGCCATTTTACTCACAGAAAACCAAACTTTACAAAGGTTCTAAGTATCTTCTGTTCTACATGAGAAGGGCTATAATGCTTCTATAGCCAGGACTTCATTGCAATTAGTCTACAGTACAAGAAGCAGGGTCTATCTTCATGCATATTCAGAAAAATGGGAAGGAATAAATACACTTTTTTTTTGCCTTCCCTGCTGCGTTCCTGTTCTGGTAGCCTCTCACAATTCTTTTGCTACAGATTTCAGCACTACAACGGTGACCAACTTGCAGCTGGTGAACCTGAATGCAGAGTCAATGTCATCCTCCTTTCCAGCCTGTCACTGAATGCTTCTGCTTCCCTTGTACCTGCTGTCAATATAAAACATCTATAAAGCAATTGGAAACTCTGCTGGACCTGCAGGTAAGCTTGGAAAGTGAAAATTATATACATACAATATATTGAGGCCCTCTTAGGGAATTTGGCTACAGCAGCAGACCTATCTCAAGTCTGCCAGAATGGGAGTGTGTGTCTTTCCCCTCTGCTCATCCTTTCCCCATCCCCACCTTTAGGTGGGACACATGGTTTGTTCCTCTCGCAGGCTTCTCCCATCACTTTCTGCAACCACAGAGATCCTCCTCTTGCACCATCAACTGTCAGCTCTTACTTGTCCCCTCATTTTCTTTCCTGTGCACCCTCTGGACCTGGGCTGCAGTTCATGGCTGCAAGGCAGCACAGGCTTTTTCCTCTCCCTCCCTGCTCACAAGACCTGCTACAGTACAAGCCTTGCTTGCTTCCACTTTGAAAACACAACTCCACAGTACAGTGTGGTGTCTCCAGTAAATACTACAGACTCCTTGAACATGGCTAGAGGAGCTTCCAGCTGAGCAATTCCCTGCAGACCTGGAATAAGGAGGGCTTACACAGCCAAAGCACAGGACAGCTGCCTTTAGTATTTGTTGGCTTTGGGTGGTAGGACCTGGAGGTGAATTGGTGAAAGGGCGAGCTAAAGGAAATCAGCTAAAAGGAACCTGTCTGTCTTTCCACACAGAACAGGCATTACAGCTTCATCAATGGCAGAACTCACTTCAGGCTTTCCTCCCTATGGGCTGAGGCTTTAGGAGCTCCTGCTGGTTCCAGAATACACTGTAGTACAAACATGAAATTAGCTGATTTTTCCTGTGTTATTTCTTACCCAACAACAGGATACTTTGTTTAGCTTCATGAAGAGAACAAGGAATGTGATAAGGAGAATTGCATAAAGGAAAACTTCTGATTGTAGGACAAGATATGTTCCCTTGTCTTATCTAACATAGTGACCAGAACTCCGATCATGGGCAGGAGTTCAGACACAAACAGGAAAAGGGTTTCCCGCAATACAGCTGAGAACAGCTCCTTCAGAGTACTAAAAGCAAGCAAATCTTAACTCCTCCCAAACAGATTTGATTCACCCATCTTTTGTCTTGTGATTCTCTGACTGTACTAATAAAATTGTAAATAAGAGAGGCAGTTAATCTCCTTCATCTTGTTGGAATGCTAAAATCAAACTCACCTGCTGAAAAAGATGTGAATGGCAGAACAGCGATGGGCTGGAAAACTGCCAGCAGGCTTGGAATGTCCTGGCAAAGACAAACCACATCTAAAGTCCTGTATGAGGAGTGATGATTGCAGTTGTAATGCAAAATAAAAGAGGAACAGATAAGCAGACAGCAGACAGAAAAATAACATACAGCATGAGGAGGAAAAGGAGACTATTAAGATATTACTGGAAGCTTCAAATTCAGAAGCAGTTATTAAACCCAGATATAACAATAGAGCTGAATTTTCCTTTTTTGTTTTTTTAAATAAGTGTTATCAGGTACTTCCTATCATTTCTATCTGCTACTGTGTTATTCACACTATAGGACTACTTTCAGTTGCACTTTTTAACCAGATATTATCTTTGTCTTATCACTTACTGTCAACATTTTCCTCAGGCTGAAATAGTTTATTTTGGGGCTTTTTTGGTTTTGTTTTCTTTCTGAAGGTGGAGAGAAGCTTTAGTAAAATCTTTTCTGTTCTGCAGAAAGCACCCAAAGAAAGTAAGGCTGTCACAGCAATATTTGCAAAGACTTTTGCTTTAAGCTATTTTGGCAACTTTTTTAGGATGGAGTCTCACAATGTTACTGAATGGTGGCATCTATTGGTCTTCTGCCACTCACGCTTTGGTCTCAGAAGTGGACAGTAGGCCTTGAGAGGGAAGATACTTCACTCATGCTCAATAATCCCACTGCCTATATCACAGCTCAGTGCCTGGTTCTTCTTAACAGCCCCACCTAATTTTCATGCTGCTGCTGATAAACTGCAAAACAATGCCCAAATAATCTTGTCATTTAGCCCCATGATTTAGTCTCCAAACAGCAGCTTACTCACTTCTTTTCTTGAAGGAGGTGCTTTAAAAGTGTAATTTTAATAATTTCAATTAGGTTAAGAAGACCATACCCTGTGAAAACTGTATAATTTTGTTAATGATCACCATATAGCAAGTAAACCTGAATACTAAAATAGATACTAAAACAGATTCAGTGTTCTTTAAGTAATATTTTCATAGTTTTATTTAGTAGATACTACCACACAAAGTGCACACACTGTGTGCCCTAGGCTCAAGGCAAGAGCTGTCACATAGGAAGCACTGAACATCTCTCTTCCAAAATGTAGCCCAGTGTCACTGGTTGACAATGGCCCAGAATGACCATCCAGGAATTCAACAGTCACAGCAGCTGCTCGACTGGACGCTTCACCCTGTGCTCACAGGCTTGTGCTCCCACTGAAAGGAGAGTAAACAAGCTCCCAATTGCAGTAGGTATTTCCATAATTCCTTTCCCACTGGGAGAGGTATTAAGCAGTGACTCCCACTCAGCAGGAACTGGATGTCCTGCTCCTCCTCTGGGTGTTCAGGTAGTGTAAGGCATCTTGTCCCACTTCCTCCACCTTCAGGCACAGCAGGCTCAGACGAGGCCCCACTCGTGACACGAACTCCACTTCACCACAGCGAAAATTCCGCAGCTGCAGGGGAGCTGCAGGGGAAGGATGCAAGGGGTAACAACTCAGTACAGGGCTCTGGCTCTGCTCTAGCCCACAGCTGCACAAGCTGCTGTGGGAGGGAAGGCCTTGCAGCAGCTGCTTGGCATCTGCTAAACCTCAAAGGACAGCATGATGAAGGACTCCAGGATGTAGGCAGAGGAATGCCTTTTGCCAGCATCCCTCCAGCCTGCAGGAAACACACATTCTACACTGTGAAATGCCATGAACTATGTGCTCACAGAGCTGATGCACTGAGCTTTGTATCCTCTATCAGTACCAGCAACCTGCCTTTACAGACTGTACATGACATCCAGAAAGTCTCCACTGCAGAGCATCCTCTGGTGAGCTTAGCAAATCAACCCCTGCAGCACCTGCACTCAAACTTAAGCTATATGTATGTGCAGTGTGAAGAACTGGCGTGAAGAATGTCCCCTTAATACAGCAACTGCACAGCTGTGGCAGCATGAGTTCAGACCTCAGCACTCATGAATTCAAAATACTTCAGTGCAGATTTCCAGAAGAGGATTTCCAGGTGTGTTATTGACTCTACACGCTGTCCTTTCTAATGTCAAAACCTGCTTGATTTGAGAGGTTTGCACAGTAACTCTGGCTGATCAAATTCCTGTCCCAGACAAGTACTGGGAATCTTTCTCAAAAACAGTTTTATATTTCTGTGTGAAGTCGAAAAAATTATCCTATGTTGTTTTAGGAATTTCCGTATTATTTCTTTATTTTTATAGCCATGGATCTACTAAGACACAACTTAGTTCTACACTATATAATACAAAATTCCAGGAAAATACTTCAAAGGTCTTGCTTTGATGGACAGTGAAGGCACCTTTCCTTCCCCAGCCTGGTGAGATGCCCTCCTCCCTTCCTTCCCACACTAAATATTAGAAAAGCCAGCAGTATTTGCTTACCAGGCTGCAGGATCTTGGAGGGCTTCCTGTCTATGCAGAAATCTAACAGGATAGGGCGACATATGAGAGGACTTTTGCACAGACTCCTTAGGTAACAAGCAACAACATCCTCGGGCTCCTCTAGACACTAAGGAAGGAAAGTGTGTGTTGCCAGGAAGTATTCAGTGGGAGGCAGGGAGGCTCTGGAACACCCACAGCAAAGGGAAATCCTGTCCAGCCAAGACTTGAGCTCATCAGGCTGCAATTGCTGCTGGAATAACCCACTCACCCCTGTTCCAGGAGCTTCCCCATGCTGAATGAACACGCTGCCCCTGCTCTGCACACAGTTCTGCACAGCTTCCCACTCCAGAAGGCTCAAGCCCAGCATCATTGCCACATGTTCATTCCTGCACAGCACCACAGCTTCACCTGTTCCGTCCTCCACCACCACCCTGTGCAGAGAGCAGGCAGGCTGGGATCAGGAGGGCAGGACAAGGGTCACACCCCAGACAACAGATCTCAGTAAAGTTTGTGCACATCCCAGAAGATGTGATAACTCCATCTTTGCTGTTCTGTCCACATCCCATCCTTGATATTATTTTCCCCCTCCTGTTTGTGGTGTAATTTGTTCCCTCCTCCCACCTCTTCCCACACCCAATCCCTACAGCTCTTACCGTGCACTGGCTTGCCTCACTCCTGTTTGTGACGGACATGGAGGATTGTGTCGGGTGCACCTCCCCTGAAGGAAGAACAAAGCTACAGCTATGTATGGGTGTGAGTGAGAAGGGGAAGGGTCACTGCTTATTTTAATCCTTCTCTATTTAAGGATGCAAAAGTGTAAAGAATTTCACTGCATTTCCAGTGAGTGCCTTGGGAAAAGTCACTTTGCTGCAAGGTGCTGATCTCCAATAGCAGTGAACGTGGGAAGAGGAGAGAATTAACAGAGTAGGACTGTCTTCCTCAGTGTCCTTACTTCACCCCCAATCCTAGCTGCCAGCCTGCCTGGCATCAGATACATACTTCTAATCACTTAGGTCCCTTTCTAATATGCAAGTCCTTCTCAGATATTGGAAAGAGGGCTTGCAATTGAGATAGGAACCCTCATTTCTTTTACATGGTAGCAAAGGATGTGTGAGAGTAAAAAATCTGCAAGACCTCTCACAAATTATGGTTGTGGAAGCTTGAATACCTCTTTGAAGATGCAGCTGCAGAGTGAACAAATCCATTGCAGGCACACAGTCAGTACACAGGACAAGTGGCATAAAATCCGGGCCTGGGCCGGATTTTGCAGCTGAGGTCTCAAGCTGGATAGAAACACTAGTGAGGGGGATGAGGCTTCTTCTGCAGGACTAGAAGAAATAGGAATTTGAGAAGCTTGGAACATAGAAGCCTTTCTTCAGACACTGTAACATGAGAACAGACCCAACACTTACCTAGAAGGAAAAGGTAGGTGAGAAACTGGCAGAGATATGATGCTCACACAGCTGGAGGCAATGTATGTGCAATAAACATTATGAAATCTGCAATATGAAAAAGCAGATGTCAGAAAGAGCTCACAGAAACCAAACATCAAGTTTTCTTGGGATGGTTTGGCTGATCTTCATTTGTAACATGGTAGGAAAATAATTTATGGGAAGGGATTGTGAGAGACGAAGGTTTGAATAAGGGATGAGGAAAGTCCACATGGGAGGTCAGATTAAGAGATGCTTTCAAAGACAGTAAGAGAGGCTCTAAAGACAGGAGCACCTTGAGATCTTGCGTTCCAAGTTCTGGAAGAGAATCTTGGCTCCAGGGAGCAAACCCCTGAGATGCTGCAGGTAGGTGGCAATAATGTA